CCAGCAGAGACTGGTGGGAAGAGACTGAGAAACTTGGCGCAGAGCGCTAATTCCTTCCTCCCAACGCAGTGCTGTTGGCCTTGTCACTCGGCGCGGACTAGATGGGGGGCGAGTAAGGCTTCGAGTGCCTTGAAGGGGGGTGAACCAGTCGTTCGCCTTACCTGCGACCAGCGGTCGTTCTTTTCAGACAGATGCCAGCGGCATCCTTCGTTTCAGTGCCCGAAGATCGGGCCCGAACTGACCCCCCATGTCCGCTAGGAGAAAAAAAGAGAGTGCTTGCACAGGGTTTAACTGCAGCGCGGTTAAGGGTTTCCCGTTACGCGCGCAAACGGAAGTTTCGTTGGGAAATAAGCTTCCATCATGCGTGCGTGAATGGGTTTTATTTCCCGCCGAAAGTGTAGACAAAGTTTTGTCGTAAAAGGAAAACAGTGTTTTCACTTGTGTGTTGTGAACACTAGACAAACTTTGCCGTGCAGCTTTCGGCTTGAAGTGGATCTGTGATCCAAAAGTTTTTATCCCACCCACCACACCCTGTATAGTATGCGGGGTCTGGGACCACGCTTGTGGCAGCAGAGCTGCCGGAGCAGCGCTCCTTGTTCTATCTCTAGCAGAGATCTCATCTTCAGCACAGCGTGCTTTGCTGTACATAGGCCGTAGGCCGTCAACAACGCAGAGTAGCTAGTAGTAGACTGCAGCGACCCTGTGGGTCGAAGAAAGTTTCACCTTTGTCTCCAGTAGTACTGAGACACCCCTGGTAGGGGGCAGGAGGGGGGTGAACCAGTCGTTCGCCTTACCTGCGACCAGCGGTCGTTCTTTTCAGACAGATGCCAGCGGCATCCTTCGTTTCAGTGCCCGAAGATCGGGCCCGAACTGACCCCCCATGTCCGCTAGGAGAAAAAAGAGAGTGCTTGCACAGGGTTTAACTGCAGCGCGGTTAAGGGTTTCCCGTTACGCGCGCAAACGGAAGTTTCGTTGGGAAATAAAATTCTGTTTTTCCGCGAAGCAAGAAAATGTTTGCGTTCTGAAGGGTGTTTATATGGAATCGAATCATCTGCGGCGATATATGCGTCATAAGCTTGTGCAAAACACCGGCTGGAGCATGTCGGCAACGGTCAACGACTTGAACTAAGGCCGAATACATAGAACGATGGGCCAAATAAGCATGCTACGGGACGCTGCGGAGATACCGCATCGTATAAAGCTTGGAATTTCATGTCAAGCAACTGGATCTTGCAATTCGAGTCTCTGTCCTTGTCCCTCTTTTTCGAAAAGTGATGCATGTACCAGTTTTCGCGCGGAACTTTTGCTCGTTTTTCTTCTTTAAGCTTCTGCGCAGGCTCTATCCCCAATTTCTGGCTTGCAGATCTTGCCTTGACTCTGCCTTGCAGATCTCAAACCCTTAACAATCCTTCTTTAAACCTCACAGATCACTTCTAATGCGTTCTTCTGCGTTCTCCAAATTGAACTGCAGACTTTTGCTGCAGCCAAAAATCCTTTCACCATTTGTGCTCTTGCAGCTTCCAGCCTGAGTATGGCCCACGGCTGCCGGGCACTGGAGAACATGCTACAACAACTGTCAAGCTCAATACTGCATTTTGAGCAACCAGCACACGTATGCCCTGGAGGCAACAACTGCCGCAGCTTCTCTGCTTTTAGAAGAGCTTGGAAGCAGTTAGTCGGCTGCCTGGAGAGACTTTGGACACGCTGGGCTAAAACTGCATCTTCGGCAAACCTGGCTGTTCAAAAATCGGTTTCCATCAGTTTTTTGGTTTTTTTTGGCGGGGCGGGGCTCAAGACAGCAGTTGCTGCACTCGCTCCCAGCAAGAACTGCAAGAGTGTCATTTACAAAAAAGACTGTACAGACGAAGAGGACTATGAGAACCCTCAGCCGCAGATGTCCCGCTTTCCACTTGTACTGGGAAGCGCAATGGCGCACACACATGTTGCCCTGCTTCCCATGAGCGGGTGGGTCGCGCAATGGCACACACATTTTAGTGAACCATTTAAATCCACGCAGTCCTGCCCTGGAAATTCAGCGACGATGGCACCCTTTCCGCAGGTTGTCAGCGGCTGGGTGTGACTTTCGCACTGCGCGAAATATGTCTCTTGCAGGAGCAAATTGGAAGCGCCTCAGGCATGCCTGGGATCAAGGTGTGGTGGCTATACACATCCGCGTGAATCCAGAACAACTTTGCGCATCAGCCGGTATACCAGGGCCGCTTTTCGCGTCTGCTTGCCTTTGTCGGAGAAGGCACTCGGCCTGAGGCCTGCCGCAGCGCTACCGGGGCCCAAACGGATCAACATGTGGTCCTGAGCGCTTCTTCTTGATGGGCCGACACACGTTCGAGGAATTTTTTGCAGAGATTGTCCGAAGAGACTTCGATGTGCTGATGTTCCTCTATGTTGAGCTCGAGCCCTACACATTGGGTGACGGGCTCAACTTCGAGGAGTGGGTTGCTGCGGCCCGGCAATTTTGGGCGCAAGTTGGGGAGGACCCTGCTCACTTTCGTCGGATTTTGTGGGATCTTGCGATTCACTATTGGGGGTGGCATGCGCCGCAGGTTAGCCTGCAGCCGCAGTGCTGGCACATCGGCCGCGAACTTTGATGCCACATCCCAGCTCCGTCCTGGCCATTCGGCTTTGCGGCGGTGTCTGGGATGGAAAAAAGCCATTTTGGGGGTTTAGTGCTTTGAAGTTTAGGGTTTAGGGTCTCAGGGTTTGGGTTAGGGGTTTAGGGTTTTTTTTGGAGGGGTTTTGAGGTTTTGGGGTTTTGGGTTTATATGGGTTTTGGGTTGTGGGGTTAGGGGTTTGGGCTGTGGGTATCGGAGCCTTCCTGTTTGCACGCGCGAAGCCAGGGCTTCCACAACGCGAAGGTCAACTTGGGAGGGCTGAGTTCGGGTTTTGGGTTTAGGGGTTCAGGATGAAGGGGTGCGGCGGTTTTTGGTTTGTGGTTTTGAAGTTTATTAGCGGTTCAGGATTGTAGAGCAGGGGTCTGGGGTTTCGAGGTTTCGGGGTTTTGGGTTTGGGGTTGCAGGGGTTTTGGGTTTAGGGATTTCGGCTAGCGGTGTGGGTGGAGGGGGAGTCGGGGCTTTCATGGTTGGGGTTGGGGAGTATGGATGGGGGGTCGAGACGGTTGGGAATGGTGCGGTGTTGCGGGGGTGGAAGGGGAGGGGAAGAGGCGGTTGGGAGACGGATGGTGCAGTTGAATCTGGTTGGCTTCGGAAAGACTCGAAGGAAAAGGAAATGGACCAGGTCCAGACACAGCAAGCATTGACAGATTGATAGTTCAGTTTTGATTCTATGGGTGGTGGTGCATTGCCGTTCTTTGTCTTTGTTGGTGGAGTGACTTCTCGGGCTAGCTCGGTCAACGTGCGCTACGTAGCTTGCGAGATAAGTATGTTCAGTGTGCGTTTATTTTTTTCAGTCAGGGTTGTTTTCCATGATGAACGTGTTTGCTTCGCAACGAATTGCTTGCTCGAATCATAAGAAACACACGCATGCTGACACAGCTAGCAGCTGTCAAGAATTTTTCACCCACCCTCCACACCCGAGTGGGGTCTGTCGCACAGCACGCTTTGCGATACCTTCTTGAGCGTGCGTCTCTTCGCACTGCACGCATTGCTAGACTTCTCGAGCGTGCTATAGCTGCTATATGCTCTGCACAGACATTGCAACGTCCGACAACAACAGTGATTGCCTTCTTTGTTTCATGTGTGCCGTACATGTATAGGCCCTATAGGCTGTATAAGCATAGAGAGCAGATACACGTAACGCAAGCTTAAATTAGATTCAGCACGGGGGAATGTGTGCGGTCCAGACACAGGATTGATTGACAGATTGATAGTTTTGTTTTGATTGTGGGTGGTGGTGCATAGCCGTTCTGAGTCTTAGTTGGTGGAGTGGTTATTCGGGTTAATTCCGTCAACGAACGAGACCTGAGCTTGCGAAATAGCCTGTTTCTTGATTCTATCGGTAATGGTACACGGTCGTTCTTAGTTATTTGGTGCAGTGTTTCGTCGGTCAATTCCTTCAACGAACGAGACCTTAACCTGCTAAATAGCTATACGTAACATCAGTTACACAGGCAACTTGATGGGCACGGCCACGGTTTGCGGACGGGCTAGGATGGGCGAGAATGGTTTCGGGGAGGGAGGGGGCCAAAAGTTTTGCCAAGGCAAGCCCCCGCTTCTCGGCTCGAGAATCGGGGTTTGCTGTTGTTTTGGGGGGGGAGGAGGCAACTGGCAGGGATGGTGTGGTCGAGGGTCGGGGTGCGAGTGGGTGGGGTTCTAGGAGGGTTGGGGTACATGAGAAAAAAGGTTCTTGCATTGTACTTGTCGATGGGCAAACCAACCAAAGCAGTCCAGCTTTTCGGGTTGAGCAATGAAAATACGAGGAAAAGGAGGTCTTCGTGCAGGTGTACGATTTTAGCGTAATGCAGCGCCCCAGCAATTCGCAGCTGTTGCTTTCCAATTCCATTTTAAAGGCCTGCGACTTCGGGTGATGTAAGCGTTTTCTTCATGGCAGAACCCAGCAACTAGGGAGCGAGGGTTGTCTGGTTGGACTTAGGGTTTAATCTAGGGTTTGGCACAAGCTAATGCCTGCACTTTTCGGTTACTTACCTCGGTTCTTCCTTTTGCAACTACTTGGCATCTACCTCTGGTTAGCCCTTAATTACCTTCATTCTACGTTTGCTATCCACTTGATCTACCTTTCTTTACCTTTTGAATTCACCTTCAATTTACCCTTTGTCCTAATTTACCATACTTCCACCTTTTTGCAATCGCCTCTTGTCCACCTTGGATTAACTTCCCGTTTAAATGACATATTTTCTACATATTTTTTGCCTCAAGCTGCTGACTTGTCTTAACTATACTCAAGACTAGACCTCATGCCATTGCATTGTCTGACAAGGCTGGATGTTAAGGATTGGGCAGGCGCAAAGGAAACACCAGCCACGTGATAATTTTGTTGTGCATCGCCCAGCAGCATTTCGGCAGCCCATGGCGGTGGCGAGCTTGTGGTTGGTATTCCTCTTCGCCTGCTTGCTGCTGCTGATATTTCTGAAGCGCAGCTGGTGCTTTTTCAGGTCGCCACTTATGGAGCCGAGTCTTGCATGTTTCGGAGTTGCAAAGGAATACGTGGTGCTCGTGTTGCAAGAAACACTTCAGTCCTCACATAAGAACAGCAGGTGCCACAACAACCTGGCATGGGGTAACATCGGAGTTCGACATGTCGCCTGTGTGCCAGTGATTGCCAGTCTATACAGAGTCGTAATACAAAGGCTATGCAGGGGCACGCACATATCTGCATAGTTTCATTCGTTTGCAGGCCGCGGAGCGGTGGATGGAGCATCTCACTTGCATTCAATGAGAGCAGGAGGAGGAACCTGGCTAATCGTGTCATGGGACTCCTCCGTGGTTGTTTTAGATGAATTGGCGTGTAAGTGCCGGGATCCCCAACATCATCCCTTGAAAGACGCAAATGCCTGAACCCTCGACCCTGAAACCCACAAGTAAACCCAAAAAATCACCGAACCCTGAAACCCATGCACACATCCTGACACTTGAACATGAAGATTCTTGAAGTCCCTGAAGTCACGACTGCAAGAAACCCTGAATGTCCCAACGAAGCTTCAGCCGCAGGTACCTTGCAGCTCGAGTATGCTCTGGCTCTGCGCTCTGCCGTGGTCTACGTGGCCATCGGCGCCGTGCCACTGCTTTTCCCTTGCTCCGAGCGGTCTGCCAGCGTGGCTTGAGCTTTCTTGGTTGCGGTTCAGGGCTTGTGAGGGTTGGGGGGTCAGGAAGATCTTAGTCCGAGGAGATACGAGCAAGCTATGTTTTGGAAAGCACACGCATCTCTATGTCGATGTCGATGTATATGTCCATGTATATGTATATGTATATATATATATATATATATGTATATGTATATGTATAGTTACACTCAGTATGGATGCAAATCTTGTACGTATTCATCCCCGGTGCCACTATGATTGTTTTCTTATTGCTGAGGCTTCTCTGAAAGGTTGGGACAGATGCCCGGCGAGCTCGTACAGCTTGGTGCCCACCAACATCATGCGGATTTATCATTTCCTGCCTTTCTGGTATGCTTTCCTGGTAACTCCGCATCTTGGTTGCTTGATCAGCGGCATCCACGATGCTCTGCTGGGTGCTTCCACCGGGCTTTGCATGGCGAGTCTGCTAAATCTGATGATGCCCGGAGGGGCCGGTGGCACGAACTACTTATCAGAGGATTTCTGGCAGAAAGCTTGGCTGCCTTTTGGGTACCATAGCTTCCCCGCGATCCTCTTTGCAGTCTGCTCAACATACCTCTTGTTCTTCAGCTCGACATCCGTTGGCCAGAAGCAATATGCTTTAGGAGTCTTCTCAGAGCTCCTGGTCCCCTTCATGAACCCTCAGACAACATCCGGGTTCCGAGCTGTGATCTGGGATTGGGAGTTTCACTGGAACTGGAATGGGATTGCCATGTGTGGCTTCTGGCTTGTCGTACTTGCCATACTGCTCGCCATCCCCTCCCTGGGCCTCCTTCCCTGGAGCCGCGAGTCTGTGAAGAGACACAGCTGCATGTGGTCTGCAGCAACCGAGCTGGCACAACTGGCAGAGGACACGGCCGGCTGCTTGGAGTATTTGTTGACAATCCTCCAGCAGGAAGCTTGGAAGTTTCCCTTCCACGCAGACAGTTCCAACTTCTACATCCGACAGCTGGGCATGCGCCGAACCACCGCAGAGGCGCTCTTGGACCAGGCACCGGGCCGCCTTCCCGGAAAAAACCCGTACTTTGGGTCACCTCTGTAGCCTTGCGACTCTGCAGGTCGCGTGGGAGTCGTGGGTTTCTGGCCACACACGGGAGCAACACAAGAACCTGCAAAACGCAACTCCGGCAGCATCTAGAAATTTCTGCTACATCTTTCGACGGTTTGTGTGGTTTGTGGTTTGAGATTGAAAAATTCCAGAAGAAGCAGCTCAGTTGCACTGCCGGTGCAAGCTGCAGGTTGCTGCGTTTCTGCGGCAGCTACGGCAGCTCCTCCGCATCCAGAGTGGCTTGATGCGCTACCTCGGACAGTCCACTGGCAGGGGCGAGCAGTTCCTGCTCGAGGAGTACGAACCCCAATAGCAACCGTGACAGTAGTTAAATGTAACTAGACCCGCCAAGTATTTGTCATGATTAGTCCTGCCAATAAAACCGGCCCTCACACAGCTTTTAAATCATCAAACGAACAGAAGCATCTTTTCAAGAGGACTTCGTGCTTGCCTGCAGCGAGGGCCTCGCCGCGGTGGCTCGGGATTGCCGGGACAAGGCTTGCTGTCACAAGCACAGGCAGTATGACAATGGTATCGGAGTCGCAGTAACCACCGAGAATCGGCATGCTCTTCATGTATACGTACAGTTCTATATAATATGTAAAAAGGCGGAAACACATACAACTAATGTTTGAACAAAGCACGTTTTGCTCGCGCTGCAGGCAGACATCAGCACGGAGACGCGTCTGGAGCTGCAGCGCCTCGCGAAGAAAGCAGACGATTCTTGGAGCAGACATTGCTTTCAAGGGGCCCGTGCAGTATGAGGTTTGGATGGGTTTGGTTGGAGTGCCGTGCAAGAACTTGCTGGCAGTGTGTTCCCAGGCGTTCAGGAGGGAGTCTGTTTTGTCGTTGTATCACGTATCGCCCCCAGTATCAAGTCATAAAGGAGTGAGCAGAAATCGAGTGCTGCTTTGTATATCCCCGGATGCGTTTCTGTCGGTTTCAACAGACTCCGGTGACGACTGTTCTTATGTGACGCCCCACCAATACCTTCCGAGGAAGTGCTCTGCAAGGCTCTGGAGAAGCAGGCCAAACCCGAGAATGCCTTCTCCTCTGAGATGGCCTTCCTGGACCAGCCGCTCGGAGAGAACCCTAAAGCCCTAAATCCCAAACTTCGCTTTTCCCCTTTTCGGGCCCCCCCTGGCCTCACCCAGGCTCCGCTCCTGGCCCGCTGCCTTCAGCGCTTTCGATGCGCGCCACTGAGATGAAGGAGAAATCAGGAGAATACTTTCTGGTTTAGGGTTTTCAGGGTCTTTAGGGTTTAGGTTTTAGGGTTTAGGGCTTACGGTTTAGGGTTTAGGGTTTAGGTGTGCCTTTTTGTTCCGGCTGAGCTGAGGCCAGAACGATGCTGCACCGAGCGCATCTGGGGGCAAGGACGCGAACAGTCGCCATTGGTTTGCCCTTCGGAACACTGTGTCCTGGACGCTGGCACTTCTTTGGTCGGTATATTCTCGCGGCTACAGCATGGGTTGTGTGGTTGCTACCTCCTTCATTTTCTCAGAAACATCTGGCTCATCGTTCGACACGAACATCAACCGCATTCTGGGAGTGGGCATGGGGCTGGCAGTGGGCAATGTTCCCGCCATACTTATCCTCAGTGGGACGAGCGCAGAGAACACATCCTCGATGTTGCGCTTCTTCGCGTACTTCGTTGTCATGTTCATCATGTGGACTCTAGCCATGTTTGGGTACTTGGCCCCCGGCTCCAAGTACTACCGTGCCTGCCTTCTGTGGGCACTTGCCTTAGCAACGATTTGTCACGTGGCTGTGATTTGACTCCTGCATGCCTCGTGTCAGGTGGGCTATGGCGGAGTGCAGATGTCGCGTGACAAATTTAAGAGTCCAGGGTCGAGACAGTCCAGCAACGGTGAATCGATGATAAACTTGTGTGTCCCACCTAGGCTAAGACACCTCCCTCAGTTTGACCAGCCTGATGCGGAGCTGTTCCTTGCCATCCTGGATAACATTGTGGCCATCATGGTGTGTCGGCGGCAATTCATTCCGTTTTCGGACACGCCAATTTGCTTTTTTCCGAACAGAGGTCTCTTGCCCAAGGCAGCAGTGACAAGGACTGTCCGAAGCTTTGCGCTCAGGTTGTCTTCATCGTTGACATGGTTTTTGCCTACGTCCAGGCATCTTTTCTGACCTACAAGCATGCTGCTGGCCGCAGCTGGGATCGACTCACAAGACTCCCTGAAGAGATCCCTCAGGATAACAGACTTGGGAGAACCTCTTCAGCAAAGCTAGTCAGCAACTGAACAAGACTCTGCCGTGAGGGCAACAGCACCGAGGAGCAGGTCAAGGCCTGTGGGCGGTTTTTCATTGTAGGTCTTCAATCTCCGGACACCTGAGACTTCCTGCGTAGCTGTTGAGGATTTGTGCGCTTTCGATCACCAAAGCCCACGCAGGCGGCCGTGACTCGCTGCGCCCAGCATGTCGCCAACGCCGTCGAGACGTTGCAGGCCAAGATGCTGCATGCTGCTCTTGAGTTCCGAGAATGCACTCCAACTCGCTTCGGACGCACAGGGGGCCTGGGGATGAAGTCTTGTCATGCTCCGACGCTGTGTGGCTCAAGACAGGCCATGTAAGGCCCCTGACCCCTCGGCATCTTTGGCAGTGATCCTCACATTTTGAAGCCAGCCGAGACTTGGACCTTAACGTTTTCTTCGAACTTGTGGGCAGATGCGATGTCTTGATATGCTTGCAAGCCGGTGATGCATGGGTACTGCTTCGGGGGTGAACAGAGATCGTATTGGTTGCAGCAGTTGTGCCGTGTGGGGTGCCCGTGGATGCAGGTCAAACATTCTGGCCGATAGCTTTGACATTGTTGTTCGTTAGATTTCGTAGCTGAATGTTGCTGCAGTGGTGTCGTTGGCGCTGCGAGCTCGGCCCTAGACGATGGTTTGTGTGTCTCTTCTTCTGCGCTTGCAGCCTCTTCTGTGGTCGTCTCGTGTGGTGCGCAAGAGCCACCGCCTTGAGGCTTTGCCACTTCAGCCCAGCATGGTGATCAAGGTTGACTGCGACATGGCCGTTGAGGCCATAGCCACCAAGCCTATCGAAGGGCAGAAGCCCGGCACCTCGGGCCTTCGGAAGAAGACCAAGGCGCCCGGACTCTGATGTGCATACGAAGAACCCCTTGCAACTGAAGTTTCCGAACAGGTCTTCATGGAGGGCACTTACCTGGCCAACTATGTGCAGAGTGTTTTCAACACCCTGCTCGAGTCGGGTGTGCCTGTGTCTGGAGGCACTTTGGTTGTCTCTGGCGACGGCCGCTTCTGGAATCCGGAAGCAATCCAGATCATTATCAAGATGGCGTTCGCTGCAGGTTCTGCAGAGATGAAACGAGTGTTGATTTGTCTTTGATCTGTCTGTTCGAGACCCAAACTATCCGGTCGTAGGCGAACCAGATAGGTCGGCACCACGCAAAAGAGCATTTTGACTGCTTTCCAGCAGTGCTCGTGCTTTCAACCCTTGTGCAGGAGTGGGGCGGGTTTGGTGTGGCACGGGTGGCCTCCTGTCAACACCAGCCACCTCGGCAGTCATCCGCTGCCGGGGGAAGGGCATGGAGCCCTTCGGTGGATTCATTTGCTCAGCGTCGCACAACCCGGGCGGAATCAACGACGATTTTGGTATCAAGTATAACTGCGAGAATGGTGGCCCCGCCCCTGAGAAGCTCACTGACAAGATGGTCGAGTGGACGGCCAAGCTCAGCGAGTTGAAGACATGCAGCAGAATTCCAGACTTTGACCTGTCCAAGCCGCAGATCTATGAGCTTCCAGGTGGCAAAAGTGTGGAGATCTTCGATTGCGTCGAGGACCACATGGCGGTGCTGAAGCAGTGCTTTGACTTCGAATCCATCAAGAAGCTGATGGTGCACCCAGAGTTCAGCATGACCTACGACTCCATGTCTGGTGTGCAGGGGCCGTATGCGCTGGGTATCTTGGAAGGACCTCGTAGTTTGACGCTTGTCTTTGCCCCGTCGTTTCTGCGACATCTTTCGCAAAGAGATTCATGAGAGGAGAGCTGGGCGCTCCAGCTGGAAGCTGCAAGAATGCGAGTCCGAAGCCGGACTTCGGAGGTCCGGAGTCCGCTTGGCACGGCCACGCGGATCCGAACCTGACCTACGCCGTGCTTCGGCAGCACAGTTGAGGCCCCGCAACTCCACCAAAAGGTTCCTCCTTCCTCGCTGTCTCGTCCTGAGGTCGAGCTTGTGGCCGACATGGGCCTGAACAAGGAGGGCCAGAAGGTGGAAACCGGCAAAGCCATCCCGAAGTTCGGTGCCGCGGCTGATGGCGATGCCGATCGCAACATGATCCTCAGCTCCCAGTTCTTCGTGTCACCCTCGGACTCTTTGGCCATGATCGTGGCCAACTCCCACTTGATCCCTCAGTTCAAGGATGGACTGAGAGGCTGCGCAAGGTCCATGCCCACCTCGGCAGCCCTGGACCTGGTCGCCGAGAAGAAGAGGATCCCATGCTTTGAGGTGCCCACAGGTTGGAAGTTCTTCGGAAACCTCATGGACAGTGGCACGAGCTACTTCCCGGGCAAGGAGACTTACACCCCTTTCATCTGCGGTGAGGAGTCCTTCGGAACTGGCGCCGACCATGTTCGGGAAAAGGATGGCATGTGGGCTGTACTTGCGTGGCTGCAGATCCTGGCGAAAAAGACGGAGGAGGCAGGGAAGCTCATCACCGTAGAGGACGTGGCCATGGCTCACTGGCAAGAGTACGGGCGCAACTACTACGCTCGCTACGATTACGAAGGCGGGCCGGGGGGCAACCGTGAAAGGCCTTGTTTCCGGCTCTTCTTCATGTGTCCACCGAGGAGTCGACAAGCAGAAGGCAGAGGAGATGTTTGCAGCCATGGAGGCCAAGACGGGAGAGCTGGCTGGGCAAGAGCTCGGTGGGATGAAGAGCCTCGAGCGAAGAAAGTTGGGGATTGCAACTGTTGCGTCTCTGCGCCTCCAAGCATGTCGTGTCACAGACAGTGGAAGGGTAGTGTGAAATCGCAGAAGTGCCCTGCAAGGATTAAGATCAACGACATGTTTGAATACACGGACCCGGTCGATGGAAGCGTCTCCAAGAGGCAGGGCCTCCGCTTTATCTTCGAGGACAACTCACGAATTGTGTTCCGATTGTCCGGCACTGGAGTGGCTGGGGCAACTGTGCGGCTCTACCTCGAGAAGTACGAGCCGCCCAGTGGCAACCTGTCCCTGCACCAGTTTGAGGCCAGCTGCAGGTCAGAGGAAGCCGTAGACACTTTGCCCTTGGCCAGCATCCTTGTGCACAGGTGGTGAAACCACTGGCAGCCATCGCCCTTGAGCTTTCACAGTTGCAGGCCTTCACAGGCCGTGCTGGCCTCAGAGGGCAGCAGAGGCCGTTGCTTGTTTCGCTGCCGCAGCTCCATGTCCTGACTCAGTAGGTGAGAGCCCGACTGTCATCACCTGAGTCGCATGAACCAGAGCCAGGCAGCCAGGAAGTAGTTTTTGCAGTTTTGCAACTTTTGTCTTTTGCTAGGTCCTGCAGGTCGGCGACAGGGCTGGAAAGTTCTCTCCCGTGCAGTCGCTGCGTTAATGCTTCTCCCCGCAAATGCGGAACAAGAGGAACGGTGCCCAAGGCACTCGCCAAGAAAAGAAGGAAAGGAGCAATGCAGGATCCCATTCTCATGAGGTTTTGGCCGCACCCTCGGTTCTTTGCCAGGCAGGCAAGGTGTCAGAGTTGGACATGGATCCTCTCCAGAGGGACATCAAGGCGCCGATGCACACAGTCCGCATGTTTCTCAACAACGGGGAAGACAGGTCGAGATGGCCCACCTCGAATCAGCATCGAGAGCAGTACAGCAGGAGTACCAGTGCTGGTAGTAGTAGTTGTAGGAGGTGGAGGAGGAGAGCCGGTAATCGTCTTTGTCATCTTGGCTATCTTGGTCAGGGGACTAATTTGGCGGGCAAGACGAAGCATCAACTAGGTCATCTTGCTTGGGGGCTAACTACTAATTGGGGGGAGGGAAGGACGCGCGTCAACTTTGTAAACTTGGTCATCCAATCTAAGTCATCTTCCCAACATGCACGAATTGCACCACTCGTACAACTTGTAGCAATTTTGGTGGTCCTTGGGGAGGCCAACATGGTCCAAAATCAGGAACATTGGCCGTTTCGAAGGTTCACCAATACGCAAAATGGCTCTCATGGTTGCAACTTGCAAAATGGTCAAACGCGTGCCCGGTGCGCGTGCATCGGTTTAGGGTTTAGGGCATTCAGAGGTTCGGGTTTATGGTTTAGGGTTCATGGTTTTAGGGTTTAGGGTTTAGGGTTTGCCGTGGAACAGTATCTCGCGACAAGGCTGTGTTGAGTGCATCGTAGTAAGGCGATGAGGTGGGAATCCCACCCCACGCCGCAAAAGCTGCAGGGCGGCAGGGCAGGGCAGCAGGATCGGGCAGGGCACCACCCAGTAGGTTGGGTGGCCTTGCATTGAGGTTTTAGATTTTCGGGTTTAGGGTTTGGGGTGTAGGGTTTTAGAGTTTTAGGGTTTAAGGGTTTAGGGTTTGAGGGTTTAGAGTTTCGGGTTTAGGTGCATCCTTGAGGGAACAAACATTTTGACAGTGTTCTGCTGCTTTCCTTCTGATCTCCTGTGCTGCTGGTGTGGTCTCCTGGTGTGCGCACGCCGTGCGTGCACGCCTATACCTGCGTGCGCAATCCGCGAACAGGCCAACCAGGCAACACAACCGTACTTTTGCAATTTTGGTGGTGCTTGGAGAGCCTTTGCGAGTGGTACAAGTGGCACGAGTGGTGCAAGCGGTACGGGGTGGCGCAAGTGGTGCGGGTGGTACAAGTGGTCAAGATGGCCAAGATGGCCCCTCCAGAATCAGCACATTCTCCCGACCAAGACGACCAACACGACGCGTCATCTTGCCACCCAAATATCTCCCCGAGCAAGATGACCCAGATAGCCAAGATCACGCTTCAACTTGCCCCCCCTTTGGCGCTTACTGAGTTTACTTAGCAGCGCAGCAGTGGCACGAGGAGGAGCAGCAGAAGTAGTAGTGCAGTCAGGGGTAAAGTAGTGTCTTGTGGTAGTAGATATTTTAGACAGCTGTTGACAGAAGAGCAGGCACAGACAGCTGATAATGCTAGCCAACGACAGCACCGACTGCAAGGGCAAGGATGGCTGTAACATCGTGAGTAGCCCGTCGTCAAGAGCTCAAGCTTCTTGCATCAGCAAGCTTCGTGACGGTTTTAGTTCGTCAGATCCCAATCCAACATGGGTATGGTCCCTTTTTGGGTCCCTAGTATGATACGGCACCTACGATTTAGGGTACCCAAAAAAGGGACGCTAATTCTGACAACTACCCAAATGAAGGCAGGTCTCAACGAAACAAAGCTTTAGATGAAACAGGTCGCTCGTTTCTGGGACTCCGAGATCCAGAAAGAAGGCCGGGAAACTGTTACTATGATAATGATTTTTGCTATTGCTGTTAGTCTTGTCGTTACCAGTATTCGTATAGTTCAAGTATTACCATGGATATTATGGTTCTGGGTTAGGGTATGAAGATGCTCACCTTGCAGGTCTCGTATGGACAAGGCTGTGGCAGCCCCCCTACAAGGCCTTCCGGTTTTTTCGGGGGGGTTGAGGGGTGCCACATAGAAGACCAGGGAAGTGGCGACCCGAAGTGTTCAGAGATTATATGACATCAGTAACTGTACTGTTGTATTCTTATACGATTCTACTTAAGGGTATTTTGATGCCATGATCATACTGTACGCTCACAGTAACACAGATGTTGCTCGTCCGGTGCGAGACTCCTTATCCATGTGTATGATGATGATGATGATGACGATGATGACGATGACGTTGTGGAGCCGGGAGAGGTGCGCATCCGGCTTCATGCATGCAGGCCTCACAGAAATGCTGACAACCACGAAGAACTTGAGATAGAACACAGCACATCCGGGAGATGCTTGTTCTGGCCCATCGGCTTCCCTCAACCCTGAACCATCGAAGCCCTGAGGCAGACTCAGTGCCAGCGCTGCTGGACTGCTTCGATGAGGCATTCACTGGAAAGAGATATGTTAGGAAACATACAATGGCTGCGATGATCTCGCGCACGATAATTTCAACGAAACTAGAGTCAGAGTAACCAACCAGAGACACACACACACACACTCACTGAATAGATCCAACATATGTCGCAGTCGACGTAAAAACGTTGGCGTCATCGACAAAGACCGTCAGGCAGAACAGACCTGATTGCCATGGTGATGATGATGGTGATGACGATGATGATGATGGCGACGACAAGAACTCTGATGGTGACGACAGTGGCCAAACTGACCGACAGTTGTTGCAGATGGTTTTCAGGCTCCTCCAGAGGCAAGCATGCACGTTGTATCAGGTGCGAAATTCATCTAGTTGTGCCTATCAGTAATGGCAATGATAGTCACAGTACCGGCGCGGTTGAAAGTACTGTAACGGTGACGGTGAAGTTCATTGTCGTGAGCTGGTACACATGGGGCGGCTCAATTAGGTAAAAAGATGGTGGTCATGATGCTATTTCTGACTGTTCGTGCTGGCCATGTCGATGACAATAATACCAGGTACACAAGCGATGGCATGGAGTGGCATAGCACGGCCTCGGCCAGGAAGGAGAAGTGCCAGTATTGACATCAATAGTCAGTCATGGGTAGGTAGATTGGCGAGAACTGGGTAATGTGCTGATGGTGATGATGATGGTTGTAAGAAGATGAAGATGCTGTGACTGATGTCAAGTCGATGCCGATGTGAGTAGCGACGAGAACAATCCATCGATGATGTCCGATATCTTGCAGCGGCATCGCCAACGAAGGCGATGTGACGTTAGTATCTGCGAGTTCTCCAAACAGTCTTGCTGGTAGATGCAGGTGTATGTTTGGGTGTCGGCGCTGCAGAACAGCGCCAAGCGTTGTGACAGCATCGAGCATGCTGCCAAATTGGTGAAAGATATTCTGCCATCTGGCGATGTGGATCGATGCCATACTTTCGTTCGAGCTATCAAGCTGGTCGTACAGGGCCTGGACGAGTCGCTACATGAACTCCACCACCTCCTGCAAGAGCCGAATCAGAAGACCGGCTTGGCGTTCATGTCCTCTCAGAATCTTTGCAATCTGCTCCAGGGGGAAACCACACCGGCTTCCACCAAGGCTTCCTTCTCACTCCTGGATGGCATCAATCTCCTTGACCTGGATGCTCAGAGTGCCAAGCGTGCCCCGGAAGTGGCCGCCGGCGAGGCGGTGAAGTGGAGCACCAAGGCGCTCCGCGTGTCTTTGCAGCGGATCGGAGGGCTCATTGCAGCGGGCTCCGCCTTTGCGGCCCGAGATTGGCGGGTTCAGGCGCGGGCGTGTGAAGCTGTCACTGCTTCGGACGACCTGGACATCCCACTCACCGTGCCGAGGCTGAGGCAGCGTCTCAAAAAGTCGCTGACCAGCAAGTTTTAAACTTGTCTTCAGATTTAGATCCTTATTCGCCTGGCAAGGGCCGGGTGACGAACAGCAGAAGGGACGTGGCAAAATCGCTCTTTGCAGCTACTGGCTTGCAGTCCACCCTGAGGACCCCTCTTTTTCATGCATTCCTGTGCCAGAGCCGTCAAGTTTCAAGCAGCATCCGAAGCGAGTAAACCAACACGAAGAGTATTCACGAGTCTAAGTTCACACTGCCGTATTGGAGATAACATCGATAGTCGCTTGCTCTCTCTCTCTCAGTAGCAACCTTCCGACACGCTGTCCCTCTGCGAGACCATTTCCAGGCAAAGTGGACAGCCTGTAGATGCAGAGCGCGCCTCAAAGCTCCCAAGAAATCGCGTCGGCAAGAGCTTGCTTGTGACACTGTTCTGTTTGCGAGTTGGCTTGCTTTCTGATGTCGAGTTGGGAGATGTTGAAAGGAACTCGAGTGCTAGCATTTGTCCTGCCTTGATTCTACTCTCAGGATATGGAACACAGGCGGCTTGAGGCGCTCGCATGTAGCCGTGGTAGCCTTCGGAGACCTTTCTATCAAGTCACTGTCGTACTACAGGCCCTGTGAATCGCTTCCCCCCAGTTGCAAACCTCAGACCTTGAACCAACACTCATCCCTTGTGGATCCGTGCAGGACGAGAAGGGCCGATTAACAATCTCTCTGCTTCTCTCCCTCTCTCCTTGTCTCCTTCTCTCCTCCTCTCGCTCTCTCCTCTCCCTCTCTCTCCCTCTCTCTCCCTCCCTCCCTCTCCCTCTCTCTCTCTCTCTGTCTCTCTCTCTCTCTCTCTGTCTCTCTCTGTCTCTCACTCTCTCTCTCTCTCTGTCTCTCACTCTCTCTCTGTCTCTGTCTCTGTCTCTGTCTCTGTCTCTGTCTCTCTCTCTCTCTCTCCCTCTCTTCCTCTCTCTCTCTCTGTTCTTCTCTCTTCCTCTCTCCCACTCTCCCTGTCTCCCTCTCTTCCTCTCTCTCTCTCTCTCTTCGTCTCTCTCTTCGTCTCTCTCTTCGTCTCTCTCTTCGTCTCTCTCTTCGTCTCTCTCTTCGTCTCTCTCTTCGTCTCTCTCTTCGTCTCTCTCTTCGTCTCTCTCTTCGTCTCTCTCTTCGTCTTTCTCTTCGTCTCTCTCTTCCTCTCTCTCTCTCTCTCTCTCTGTCTCTCTCTCTCTCTCTGTCTCTCTCTCTCTCTCTGTCTCTCTCTCTCTGTCTGTCTCTTCTCTCTCTCTGTCTCTTCTCTCTCTCTGTCTCTTCTCTCTCTCTCTCTCTCCTCTCTCTCTCTCTCTCTTCCTATGCAGATATATTTGTTTTCTCTATGTCATATTTCATGCATATGTTTACTGGTCACGCGAGACTAGAAGCTTGCGATGATCCCCTGATTGAAGGTTAGCTTTAGGGTTTTGGGATGTTAGAAGTTTAAGGTCTGGGCAGGGTAGTGGGGTTCAGGGTTTAGTGGTATTCTTCTCGAGACCAGGAATGGCGGATGATGCAGCGTCGTCAGCTGAAAGCTGTGAGTTGAACGCCCAGGTGGGTTTAAGATGGTTTGGTGAAGGTTTGCGTCGTTTTTCAAGCATCTCGAGTCTTTGGCAGGCCCTTCTTTGAGGAAGCAGGGGTTATGTGGAACACAGGCGGCTCTGAAAACTGAAACCAATCTGAATCACACTGACACCGTAGTCAAAGCTGCGCGGCACAATCGCGCTCCGGCTTTTCGCCTGCAGTTCCATACAGCGTGCCAAGTGACATCAAGGGGCCCCTGTGGTTTGAGCCACATGGCCCAGGAGCGAGTGCTTTCAGGAAGCGCTGTACACACCAATCAGAGAGCATTATCACAGCCCCCAGAGAATCGTTCCTGAAAGCTGGCTACACAATCACCTGCGGTTATATCCGCGCTGTACACGCTCATCTAGGCGATCTTGCAGCGACTGAGCTTCTGCCACGATCTGGTAGGTGCCGGTGTTGAGCAACTCGTACATCGCATCCATGCATGCACCCTTCTTCGTGAGGCCATCCACGATCATCTTGGTATGGGGAACCCATCGAACTTTTGCCCCAATGGAGTTCATATTCTGCCTCACCACTTGAATCTCCAGACTTGTGCGCTTGTCTTGAGATGGTCCAATGCTCTCCCGGCTGAGGTGGTCGTACAGGGCCTTAGCGTCCACAATGCACAAACTTTGCTGAAGAAGCTCGTCGGCTTCTTCTGAACCGATCGTCACGACCCGGTTCCGCTTGAGTGTCTCCTCCCACTTTACAAGCTCGAAGTTGTAGTCCACCAACTCGTTGAACACGGAGACAACCCAACAAAGCTCGCCTAAGCCCTTTGAAAGACTCTGCGTCTCTGCCGCAAGCGTAGAGTTCACAACCTTCTGAATTCGTCCACTCTTCCACGAAATCAAAGAGCACGGAACCCGCTTGCCCTCGTGCAGGTCCTGGTGGTAGGCGATGATGCCGTAGGCTCCTTGAGAGCCTCCACTGTGCGCGTTAGCGTAGCTCGCATCACTCACCACGCCCCAACATAAAGCATCCAAGGGAATCGGCTGAATCTTGATGCTGAGCTCGGGCTTGCTCTTCACCAGTTCTACTGCACGATTCACATCCAGCACATCCTGGATGGTAGGTGCTGGAAAGCTCGCTGCACCCAGTGAAGCTGCAGCTGCTGCATCCGGTCGACATCCTCGAGCACACCATTTTAGCGACCCGATAACCGCTCTGAGCTGACCCTTTTCTGAGTCGTTGGCCAAAGCCTTCGGATCCGACTTTCTCCCTTTGGCCAGTGACACAGGAGACAATCTCTCCTGTACGAATTTCAACATGTCGATTTCCAGGCCATAATCAGCATTCTGCTTGATCCGTCGCCCGTTAAACGACACCCCAGTGCTGCTTTCCATGAGCTTTTCGAATTTGCCGAACTTAAAGGTCCTCTGAAGCTTGGAGACCTGCTCGTCATGGAAGGAGTCGCCACAGGTAAACAAATCATCTACCTCTACTGCGATCACTCCAGACAGCACCTTGGGCTCACGCACTGGCTCAGGCTCAGCTTGCGCTGTCTTTAACCACTCGCACTGCTTCTCACCGTTGTAAAGCGCTCGGTGAAGCACATAAATTGTGGGATCCAAAGTGCTTTCGCGATATCCTAATTTGAGGATTTCCTGTTTCAGGGTACGACGCCAGTGGGCAGGTGCGTCGCCTAAGCCGTACATTCCCGCGACTATTTCCACGATTTGTTCTGGGTGGAGACCTGGAATTCCGTGGCGAGGCTGTGCTGCGTAAAGCTTGCCACCTTTCCGAAGTAGGACCCCACTCTGGCAGAAAGCGTTGCGGAGATCGCCAACGCATGCAGGGAAATGCATGCTGGCAGTTATCTGCAACACAGCTCCAAATGTCGTGGTATTGATCGTCGGACTGTGCCGATCCAGCTCAAGCAAATCTGGATCGCAATCGCCGCGTATACACCAGCGCGATTTCTTGCCGTCCGGCTGGCCCGGTTGATCTGCCGGATTGAACCGCCTCACCATCCTCGATGGGAGGATCCTGTCCTGTTTTCCGGCCACTGCCAGCTCAGCCCGAACCTTCCTTGACTCATCTAAGGAAAGCACCCTGATAGCACCTGTGCTCTTCACCTTCTGCCACTCTTGCAAGTCTGACTCATCCCACTCTGGACGGTCCTCGGGCTTGATCTCATGATCGAACACTTCACCTTGGCCTCTTGGCTTGCTCGCAAAGGCGTCCGTGTCAATCACCCGGTTGCTGAACACAGTGAAGCCAACCCAACTTTGACTTGTAGCATGAGGCTTCTTGCGCTGCTTGGACCAATTGTCCACGCGCACATCTATGCTCCCGTCATCAAAGAACATAAAGGTATGGCGGTGCTTGAGACTTGAGCCTCCTCGACATAGTCATTCCCCGAACCTTGTTCGGATTGCACAGCTGGGCTCGAGGAAGTTTGTGGTGTCGGATCATCACGTCGTTGGACACCTCCTCCCATGCATCACTTTCAAACACCCAACCAGTGTCCTTTTCCAGAGAAAACCATTGAACCACTCTCCGGTGTTCGCTTTGCCTCATGGTAGTAGGGCTTGCTGGGCTGGTGCTTCATAAGCTTCCGCACTGCATCATAGGAGGGAGTTCCGGGACCATTCCCGTCCAGCCTTTCATTGCGCTGCACACTCTCAGCGGTCGCATTGTCCAGCTCCGGTGGTAGTAGATCAAGTGGCGCCGCTGACACCTCGCGCTCGGGCTCCTCCTCAATGTTGCTGATCGCTTCTCCTGAGCCCCCTTCGGAAGGGCTGTAGTCTAGCTCCTCCTCGCCTCCATCAGGAACTGGAATCTTCTGCGAAGCATCCTCAAACTCGACAGGTTGGCGCCTTGAGGGTGGTAGTGGATCAGGACCGCCTCCGCCATCGCCACCATCATCATCATCATCAGGAAGTCCACCATCACTGATGTCCTTGTAGGGGCGCTTCAACTGGCCACGCACGAACTCTTCACGGAGAGCTTCTAGCTCTCCCGCAACCACCTCCTTTGCCAGCTGCTCCTCGGAGGTAGCTGGTCGGCACTGCTCGGCCGACGCCTTCCACAACTCGCCTCGCATGCTAATCCACAAGTTGGGTCCATCCACTGCCAAAACCACGCCTGGCCCAACCCACGCTGGTTTACGACCTGCACGAGCTTCGGGCGCGATCGCATGCTTGAGCTTTCTCTCCTTCACCGTCTCTCCAGGAAGAAACTTCTGAGGTACTCGGTGCCGGGCGTTCTTTGCCTTAGACAACGCAACCTCAGACTGAGACTTGATGTAGGCTTCCTGGGCTGCTTGTCTCAACTGCAACATCCTGCGCACTTCATCTCCGGCACTCTGCACGACAAGTTGAGGGTCGAGGTAGTCGTCCGACAAGAGTGAGCCTGGCAGCCGCAAACTCCATCCAAGCTGCCTCTGCATTGGACTGAACCCGCTTCGGTTCCCAAACCTGTTTCTGGCTGACTCCACTTCATACATAAGCGTCTTCAACTCTTGCCATGAAGAAACGACACAGGAGTCCCGGGCCCTCTCAAAGACATTCTTGTAGTGAGCCCCGGCTCGCTCCGTTTTGCCATTTTGCCATGGCGACCTCGCCCCAATGTGGCGAACCAAGGTTCCACACTGTGATGCAAGATCGGCAAACTCGCCTCTGAACTCAGTGCCGAGGTCTGCAATGAGTACTTCTGGGGCACCAAACGTTCGCACCCACGTCCTCATAAAAGTTCTCCACACATGATCCGCAGTCATCTCCTTGAGGCGTTCCACCATAGAGTAGCCACTGCCCCAGTCCACCACATTCAACGCCGGGAAGCTCTCCTGTCTGTTAAGCGCAGGCAGGTGGATCACATCAATCCCAATGACTTGTCCCGGCTGGTATGACTTGGGCAGGACCGCTGGCCTAGCTGCCTTAGGCTGTGGGCGAGCGGCACACGTAGGACACGAGAACTCTTTGGCCGCATACCTGACAAGGTGAGGCTTGGCATGAGCTATCCGCAAAGTCCTCGCAAGGTCACGATTGGATGGGTGACCCAGGTTCTCGTGGACCTTCTTCAAAAGCCTGGCCTCCTCCTCGGTGGGCTTGAGGTCAACGTTCTCAGCCTGTTGCCCCAATGCTCCTGGATCTGGTGGCTCGCCATCACCAATTGGCCCTGCTTCAACGAACACATCGGAAGGGACCACTCTGCGCACTGAACCATCACATTCTTTAGGGACCACTCTGCGCACTGAACCATCAAACATCAAAATGTGACAGTCCCCCTGGAGTGCCTCCTGATTCTGAGGAAAGCCATCGACGTCCCCCTGGAGTGCCTCCTGATTCTGATGAAAGCACCTGACGTCCCCCTGGAGTGCCTTCTGATTCTGAGGAAAGCCATTAACCACAACCTGCCACCTAGACTCGTTATGCATCTCCGTCATCAACTGCTGAATGCAATCTATGACCCCAATGAAGGTCAGCATGCTGGGCTCGATGCGCGGCATCAGCTCTCCACTGTTGCTCATCACCGCCGCGCCGCCGCTGAACTCTCGAAGTTCCCTGCGTCCATTGAGCCGAGTCTCCCTCGTGAGGTCACTAACATCTTGCACGCAGTCTGCTGACATAAGCAACACAAACGGTTTGCCCCGAGCATCCTGCCATTCAGCAGCCTGGCTGGCTAACTCCAGAGATTCAGCAGTCTTGTCTGGCTTCAGAAACATCACCTCAGGACACCGCTCACGGACCATTTCCCAAAACATCTCTGGAAACATAGGCCACAACAGCCCAACCTCATGGTCCTCATAGACAGGGTTGTCACTCTCTGCAAGACCGTACTTTGGTGAAACAAACTCCCACACCTTCCCAAACTCCTGGGCATGCCATGCTTGAATCAACTTTTCCGACGACGCCTTCAACATCTTGTGCTTGCCGTCCGGGAGGGACTTGACTTTTCCAAACTCTTCGCTCCACATAATCATGCCACCCTCGTCCTCAAAGATCGCAAGGTAGCTGTTGTCCTCTCCCAAGCATCGCGGAAGCCATCCAACCTGCTTCTTCCACTGAGGCTGAACTTGGTTCTTCACATAGTACACACGTGACACTGGCATGGCCCACGGTGTGGCACAACCACTTGGGCAAAATGCCCTCATCTGCAACTGCCTGGCCGTTTGCAGCTGCGCCTCGGAGGTAATAAGAACGTACTTCTCCGGGCTTTCTTCGGGCGCAAAGTCGCCCAACTCACTCAATTCTGAGTGTGAGGATGGGGGTGATGCACCATCTCGAATCCCCCGTTGGCCTGCGCCATGAACGACTGCATCCAAGCCGCTTGCTGGTGCATCTGCTGCTGGAGCTGGGCTATCTCCTGTTGGTAGCCCTCCTTCATCTTCTTGGATCGATCCTCGAACATCGCTTCCAGCTTCTCTTTCTCCTCCTGCACATACATCTCCGCTTGACTCTGAAGTCGGCCGATCTCCACATTCACCTTCTGCTCCATCTCCAGCTCCATGTCGGCAATCTCCTGTGTCTCCGGAGGTGCTGCCTGGGCTCTCAATTGAGCCTGCTCCACTAGGTCCCACATGAAGAACTCGCAGATCCTCTTCTGGCACCTGAAGAAGTGCCTTCCCACTGTGGGCCAGTACACGTCCTTGCTGTACTGATTCCCTCTGCCCTTCAGGCTCACCGCCGGGTGGAGACAAACTTCCGGATCTGCTGTCGCCGGAGTCGCCGACTTCCTCGTAGAGATCTTCGGGGCATACTTTATAATCATGGCATACTCCAACTGCTTCTCGTTGGCACCCTTTGAGCTCGCCGCAGTGGAGGATGGGGTAGAAGCTGACCGGTCCGGAGGACATTGTGGCAGCAACAGCCGTCGCGAGGAATCGGGCAGCCAAGCTTCGAAGGCCTCGATGAACACCGTCAGGTTGAACAGCTTGTCGCCTAGCACCCTCCAGCGTTGCAGTGCCCTCTGAACCCGCATCTCGGCTGCCGTCCGCTGGGGTGGTCGCCGATTCGCTCTCACCCGCGGAACATCGGACTCCCTCTGTGCCATCATCCGGTGGAGCAGCGCCTGGGCCATGGTCGCCGCTATAGGGAGTCCTTCGAATTTCCTTGCTCTCGAGAGAAATCATACTCTGGTTCACAAAGCTGCAATTCATCAAAGTAAACTGCCCGGTTGACAAGTTAGCAGCTGTGGCTTCTCTCACGGCAGGCTCCAACCCTCCGGTGCAAACGCCATGACATCCACTGCAATATGCCCTGACGGAAGGTCACAAAGACTGGCCTTGGTCCCGAACTTCTTGAGCACCAGCATCTGCTCGTCCAAATCGACAATCGCCCTGAGCTGTCGAAGAAGCTTTATGGGAAGTAGCAGGGGAATGTCCTCCTGAACTACCGTCATCTCCACCAGCCCGTTGACCCCTGCAATGCCCATGGGTGCCTCGATGACACCGATGACCGTGGCACGGCCCCCGACTCCGGTGGCCTGCGCTCGCTTGCCCGTCCATCTAATCCCAAGACCACGTTCTCTTAGAGAGTCAACCAAACGAAGCATAGCCGGCTTGCCTATGAGCCCGTCTTGGGCTGCCGTGTCTATCACACCTTGCTTAGATGAGGTGACCGCACCCACGAAAGACTCAGCACTCTGGCCTCGATCCTGGTCGCTCTCCGTTGTCCTTGACGATGACCTTCTCCTGCACACGGCATTCATGACTTGGTCAAACAGCGGAACATAGCTTGCATCAGGCTCGGGCTGCTCTCCGTTTTCGACCACTTTTCCAAAGAAGCTGGCTGCACCTCCTGGGCTTTGCCCGGTCACAAAGAAACCCGAACGTGTTGAGGATGTTGTCGGGGCAGCCGAGCTCCTCTGGCTCTCCAAGTGCTGGCGGCCGCGGGCATCCGGAACTCCACGGCACTCCTTTGCCCAGTGACCTATGCATCCGCAGCGGGCGCACCTTGTCCTGAGCTTCAGCTGGTCAATGTGTACTTTCGAAGCACTGCCGCCTTTGCCACCATTGAAGCGCACTTTCTCTCGACTTCGGGGAGCAAAGGTAGGCCTGCCCTTCCCCCGGCCTGGCGCTCCACCAGCACCCTTGCCTCGGCCCTTGTCGACGGGATAGTATCCACCCACGAGCATTCTTTTGATCACGTATGCTCCGCCGCACTTCTTGGTACGTAGCCAACGCCTCTAGCATCTGCTCCTCATCGTAGACATTCTCCAGCATTGATGTACACGTAATCGTCGTCCTCGTCGCTCTCGTACTCCACATCAACGTCCACGGGGAAGGCCTCGTTCCCGAACTCGCCGTCCGGAGCCTGGCCCTCTTCATCCTCTTCTCCAAAGAAGATGCCCCACTTCTTCTCGTGGACCACCATCTCGAGCTTCCGGAGGTTCTTTATGATGGTGGGCTTGTCATATTTTCCTTCACACCACGTTATCATCTGATTGTCCTGCACCTCAGTCAAGTTGGCGTGGCGGTAAATGACATACCCAGCAGCAATCGGTGGGAACGTGACCCCCTCTCTCTCAAGCTCCTTAAAGGCATGCTCCATTCTGATCACATACTCAGCAAAACCTTTCCGAGCACTTCTCACATCTCCGTAGATCGCCGCTTCCATTGCCTTAGGCAGGCTCGTCTCCAAGTGAGGGGCAAAGTGTTCTTTGAGCACTTTCATCACGTTTTCCATGCCCTTCTCGCACGCAATCTCCTCGAAGGTGAGGCCCTCAGCTGCTGCCCTGGCTGTGCCGCTAAGTTGCCTCAGAAGTTTTGCGCCCCACTTGTTCTTCGGAACCTCCGTCTCATACTCCCAAAGCTTGATCTCCTTGAGCCACTTAGAGAACGTCTTGTCGGGATTCCGGCCATCATAAGGAGGCGGCGGTTCACGATCTTTCCAGCCTCCGGGACTTCCACCTTGCCCTGTCTCTCCCGAGGGCTGGGACTCTTGCTGCGTAGCGGGAGGCATGCAGGATCCTGCTCACCCAACGTGAGCTCCGCTACCACCTGTGGAACACAGGCGGCTCTGAAAACTGAAACCAATCTGAATCACACTGACACCGTAGTCAAAGCTGCGCGGCACAATCGCGCTCCGGCTTTTCGCCTGCAGTTCCATACAGCGTGCCAAGTGACATCAAGGGGCCCCTGTGGTTTGAGCCACATGGCCCAGGAGCGAGTGCTTTCAGGAAGCGCTGTACACACCAATCAGAGAGCATTATCACAGGCTATGATTTAGTATGATGAAGAGATACTCGAAGCAAAATCACTCGAGGTGGCTCTGCTTCGTCGTCCGAATGTTCTCAGCTTCTGTGAAGTGTGCTATGCGTTTTTGCAAGCAAAAAGTTGCCGTGAGCAGCAACGTGAAAGAATCCAGTCCCAGCATGCGTAGCGATGCCCAGCGCGCCTTCTCCAGGTCGCCTCAGAATGGGTCGACGTCGAGATCGACGTGTGTGAAAATGATTCCGACATGGACGCAAATGATTCCGACGTGGATGCAGAAGAGTTCCAGACTGCGCAGCTCTGCGCTCTCTAGCCCGGCAAGACTTTTTTCTAGCGATGTACTTTTGCAGGGCTTATTCCTGAAAGGAAGTCCCGGCTCGGTTTGCGCTTCTTCAGTCTACTTCAGTCTGAAGCTTAGGCGGTTGGATGGTCTTGACCTTGCTTACCAAACCCGTATGACAGATCAGTGATGAACATGTCTTGCTAATCTCCAAGTCAACTCTCAGAGGTTTAGGGTTTGGTGCTGCATACCCTAAACCCTTAGAAAATCGTGATCGAAGTATACCAGGATGAAGATTCTGAAGATTACTGAGCATGTTGCCTGCATGCGACTATCTCGTCCTGAAATGCTCCGGGTGACCTCCGCGAGACATATGCTGGGGCGATGCGGCCACCGACTGCGTAGCGGACCAGCATGCAAAGATCTGTATGCCCTTAGCAGGCCGGTCAATCAAATCCAGCAGTTTTGCTCGCACTCCTGGCATGGGAGAGTTTGGGAGAAGGTGGCGCTCCTGCTACTCGTCTTCAATGGTCTACCCGCTCTGCTGATGGGCACGCTCGCGGTTGTACTGACGCTCTCGCTGCTTGAAGCTTACCGCATATGTTCCGGGGAAGCTTGGTACTGCAGTCACTCAATTATCAGCACAAGCGCGGGCCTGGTCGTGACCGGTATGACGTTCCTCTTCTGGCAGTCAAGAAGAGAGGTGTTCTTGGACAATATCTGTATCCATCAAGTAGATGAGCGACTCAAGTTGGAAGGTGTGTTGAATGTGGCCGCCCTTGTGAAACGGTCGAAGTCCATGCTGGTTTGTTGGGACACCACCTACATACGCAGGCCTGCATGGATAGAAGCTATACCCATCGAAAATCCGAGTTCATGTCTTAGTCTGTGCCAGCCTGCTAAACTGCGATAAGTATCGATAAGTAACGACCATGCAAAGGCGATCAGGCACTGAGGGTCGATTCGATTCCAAGCCCACAGACAGCCCCAAAGTCTTTGCTAAGACTCTGGTGTGAAAGGCTCTGGTGTGTTCTTGAGATTGCGGCGTTCTTGCAGAGCCACGAGGAAGATGCGCCGCTCCATATCAGGCCTGTGACGTGGGCGCCCGTCACTGTCATTCTTTTTTTGGGCTTCTGCTCTCTGCTTGTGACCCTGGTCTCTGCGACACTGGTCTTGTGGGGCAATGGCTTTTGGTCGGGGGGCCCGCTCGTCACAGTTGCCCTCGCAGTATCGGTGTTCATGCCGTTGTCCGTGCTCTGCCTTTCTTATGCAAGTGCACTTTTGCGTGGTCATTTCCGCGCAGTTGATGCCATGGTTGAGCAGTTGCGAACCTTCTCCCTAAAGCGCGACACAGTATGCCACTGTTGCTCCTTTGCTTTCCATTAGCAAATGTTAGAGATTTTGGCGTCTACAACGCAATCGCAGGCCCTAACCGCATAATGAGTTTTTCCACATGTTCGTGCATATTCTCGACGAAGGCACTGCGAATCATCTTGATAAAGATGGGCAGCGCACTCCCTGCGACCGGCATTTCCTCGAGGGGAGCATCCGTTTGTGGTTCGGTTCTGTGGCAGAGTTCGACAAGCTCGTTCAACGGCAAGTTCGCGCAGCTTTCGAGCAAAAGCTGCACGGATATCCAGCACCGTACTCTTGGGTGATTGGCGCCACGACTCCGATCATATGGTCAAATTTTTCCTATTTCATCGAGCTGATGACCGAGGGAAAGTATGCTATGGCGCTTGCGGACATGTGCCTCCATCGCAGATTTTGCAAACTTCACCCAGTTTTTGAATTGCATTGGGGGTGGTTCTTGTCTGTTTGTAAACTGATACAAGCGTCCTCAAATTAAAGGTGCTATGTCGCGTCGTACTGGTTGGCAGTCATACCCATCATGGCTGTCTTCTGGGCGTGTGCAGCCAGACGCCTCAAGACGCAGCAGAACCAGTGGTGGAAGGAGGTTCTCGTAAACATTGCTTGCTCGTTGTCTGTGGTGGCAGTATACACTGTGAACGCTCTGATGGAAGGCACCTTGGCATCTCACAGCGATTTGCTGGCATAAATGTCTGGATTGGTAGAGCGAAAGGATTTCCTTAGATGAGCTTGCAGCTCCAAACTCCAATCCCATTTGCGTCTAGAATCCCAATGAGCCGTGAGATTGTGAGACCCCTGTAGCCTTAAGCTAAGCCTTTAGAATCCAACTTCTACATTCCCACCCGTTTGGGCAGCCACCGAGGCATTTTAATTTCGTTGTTGCCCTTCGAGTGGGGCAGAGTGGCTTTCGCAGTGACGCAGGGGACCCTCTTTGCTGCTTTGAATTGGTTCCTGTCCCGTGGTTTTTCCGCAAGGGCTGCGGCTTGCCATGAAAACGGTCCACGTCCTGCCGCACCTTTCTCCCGAAGGGAGCTGTGCTCTTCGTCACCCAAAGGGGGTCCTAGAGGCTTGTGATTCGTTTTGAAAGCAGCGGGTGCGCGCTTGTCAAGTTGCGTTTACAAGTCGGAGTACAAGGCTCTGGAGGAAAAGGCGGAAAAGGTGGGCTTAGGGGGCCTGCTGCATTGTCCATCTTTTTTGTCTATCTTGCATTCTGTGTTCATCTGTTTTGTCCATCTTGCACTTTGTGTTTACGAGGCTCCCTGGCATGTATTCGTACGCTCAGAAGCCGAAGCTTGTCCAGCATCCATCGCCTACCTATGTCCGTGCAGAAAACCTAATCATGCTTGGCTCAGTCAACTTGGCGGTCGCGCTGGGCATTAGGGGATAAGCTAAGAGCGGCTGAGCTCTTGCATCAGGCCGCCCTGAGGACCCCGCATGAGAGCGGCTCATCATCTCTGTCGCAGAGCCATAAAGGCTCAAATAGCGCGCAAATGAAACATGGCGGGACGATGAGCATCCAGGAGTTGGTCTAAGCTCAGAACTTAGAACTATACTGTAGTGGAGGCAACAGGTCTGGTCGCTGGCAAATTCCCAATTGCAACCTTCCGACGGAGCTCTCCCCGCGAGACCGTTTCCTGGCAAAGTGGACAGCCTGTACATTCTACTGTAGATGCAAAGTGCGCTCCTCCCAAGAAATTACGTCGGCAAGAGCTTGTGCCATTGTTCTGTTTGCGAGTTGGCTTGCTTTCCGATTTTGTGTTGTGTTGGCAGATGTTGAAAGGGAAGTGTTGTTCTCGAATGCTCGTGTTTGTTCTACCTTGGTTCTACTCTGAGGAAGTGGCATGCATGCGTCGTGAGGCGCTCCAATGTACAGGAAGCCGTTGTAGCCTTCGGAGACCTTTCTATCAAGTCACTGTCGTACTACAGGCATCTACAGGCCCTGTGAAACTCTCTCCCTCTCTCTCTCTCTCTCTCTCTCTCTCTCTCTCTCTCTCTCTTTCTTTCTCTCTCTCGCTCTCTCTCTCTCTTTCTCTCTCTCTCTCTCTTTCTCTCCCTCTCCCTCTCTCTCTCTCTATAGTTGTGTTCCTATGTAGAGAAACGCACTGTTGTGTCATATTTCAGGCATATGTTTACTGGTCACGCGAGATTTGAAGCTTGCGAGGATTCCCTGATCGAAGGTTAGCTTTCGGGTTTGGGGATGTTAGAAGTTTAAGGTCTAGGTAGGGTTCAAGGGTTCAGGGTTTAGAGTTCGAGTTTTTTGGAGGTCTGGTATTTTCGAGGCGTGGTATTCTTCTCGAGACCAGGAATGGCGGATGATGCAGCGTCGTCAGCTGAAAGCTGTGAGTTGAACGCCCAGGTGGGTTTAAGATGGTTTAAGGTTAAAGTTTGCGTCGTTTTCGAGTCTTTGGCAGGCCCTTCTTTGAGGAAGCAGGGGCTATGAAATAGTATGATTAAGAGATACTCGAAGCAAAATCACTCGAGGTGGCTCTGTTTCGTCGTCCGAATGTTGTCAGCTTATGTGAAGTGTGCTATGCGTTTTTTGCAAGCAAAAACATTGCCGTGAGCAGCCATGTGAAAGAATCCAGTCCCAACGTGCGCCAAATGCCCAGCGCGCATTCGCCAGGTCGCTTCGGAATGGGTCGACGTCGAGATGGACGTGTGTGAAAATGATTCCGACATGGACGCAAATGATTCCGACGTGGATGCAGAAGAGTTCCAGACTGCGCAGCTCTGAGCTCTCCAGCCCGGCAAGACTTTTTTCTAGCGGTTTTTCTAGCAGTTCATTTTCAGGGCATACTGACCGTGTTGTGGTGATGAGTTGGAGCGGACCCAACTCGGCTGTTAAGTAGTTCCTGGTCACGGCTCAGAGTTTGGGGTTTTAGGGTTTAGGGTTGACCCCAGCTCAGCACAAGCTTCCTCAGTTTAAGGGTTGGGCAGTTGGATGATGTGTGATGATGTTGGCATTACCCACCCGCATAGCCGCTCCACGCGAAACGCCCCTTGTGTTTCTCAAATCTGCTAGCCATTTCTTCTTAACGGTCCTACGACTCTCAGAGGTTTAGGGATTATCCCTGCCTACCCCAAGCCCTAAATCCCGAAACCGTTTGATATAGTGTTCGAAGAATACCAGGATGAAGATGCTGAAGATTACCGAGCATGTTGCTCGCATGCAGCTATCTCGTCCTGAAATGCTCCGGGTGACCTCCGCGGGACATATGCTGGAGCGATGCGGCCAGGGATTGCGTCGTGGGCCCGCATGCAACGATCTGTATTTCCTTAGCAGACCGGTCAATCAAATCCAGCAGTTTTGCTCGCACTCCTGGCATGGGAGAGTTTGGGAAAAGGTGGTGCTCCTGCTACTCGTCTTCAATGGTCTACCCGCCCTGCTGATGGGCACGCTCGTGGTTGTCCTGACTCTCGCACTGCTTGAAGCTTACAGCATATGTTCCGGTGAAGCTTGGTACTGCAATCACGCAGCCATCAGCACAAGCCTGGGAGTGCTAGTCACCGGTTTGACGTTCCTCTTCTGGCAGTCAAGAAGAGAGGTGTTCTTGGACAAGATCTGCATTCACCAGATAGATGAGCGGCTCAAGTTGGAAGGTGTGTTGAATGTGGCCGCCCTTGTGAAACGGTCGAAGTCCATGCTGGTTTGTTGGGACACCTCCTACATACGAAGGCCTTCATGCTGAACTCCGATTCCGCTAGAACCATCGAACATCAGAGTAAATATTGCGGGTATGCCAGCCTACGAAACAGGGATAAGATGTGCTGAGGGTTGACTCCGTTCCGAACCCGCAAACAAACCGAAGCTCTTTTCCAAGCTTCCGTTGTGAAAGGCTCTGGTGTGTTCTTGAGATTGCGGCGTTCTTGCAGAGCCACGAAGAAGATGCGCCACTTCATATTAAGCCTGTGACATGGGCGCCCGTCACAGTCATTCTTTTCTTGGGTGTTTGCTTTTTGTCTGTGATCCTGGTCTCTGTGATGGACGGCTTGTGGGAGAGCGACATTTGGTCGGGGAAGCCGCTCGTCGCAGTTGCCCTCGCGGTGTCGGTGTTCATGCCGTTGTCCGTGCTCTGCCTTTCTTATGCAAGTGCACTTATGCGTGGCCATTTCCGCGCAGTTGATGCAATGGTTGAGCAGTTGCGAAGCTTCTCCCTAAAGCGCGACACGGTATGCCACTGTTGCTCCTTTGCTTTCCATTAGCAAATGTTAGAGATTTTGGCGTCTGCAACGCAATCGCAGGCCCTAGCCGCATAATGAGTAGATTTCAACATGTTCGTGCATATTCTCGACGAAGGCACTGCGAATCATCTTGATAAAGATGGGCAGCGCACTCCCTGCGACCGGCATATCCTCGAGGGGAGCATCCGTTTGTGGTTCGGTTCTGTGGCAGAGTTCGACAAACTCGTTCAACAGCAAGTTCGCGCAGCTTTCGAGCAAAAGCTGCGGGGATATCCAGCACCGTACTCTTGGGTGATTGGCGCCACGACTCCTATCGTATGGTCAAACTTTTATTACTTCATCAAGCTGATGGCCGAGGGGAGGTATGCTATGGCGCTTGCGGACATGCACCTCCATCGCAGATTTTGCAAACTTCACCCAGTTTTCGACTTGCATTGGGGGTGGTTCCTTTTTTGTTTGTGCACCGTGGAATCAAAGGTGCTACATCACGTCCTACTGGTTGGCAACTATACCCATCATGGCTGTCTTTTGGGCGTGCGCAGCCAGACACCTCAAGACGCAGCAGCACCAGTGGTGGAAGGAGGTTCTCGTAAACATTGCTTGCTCGTTGTCCGTGGTAGCCGGCTACACTGTAAACGCTTTGATTGAAGGCACCTCGGCATCTCATAGTGATTTGCTGTCGTAAATGTCTGCGTTGGCAAGCTACTTCGGATCCTCAAGATGTAACGACAAATCCCTTAACTTCCAATTTCTACATGCCTGCCCGTTGGGAAGCCACTGAGGCATTTTAACATTATTGTTGCCCTTGGAGTGGAGCAAAGTCGCTTTCGCAGTGACGCAGGTGACCCTCCTTGCTGGTTTGCATGGGTTCCTATCCCGCTGTTTTTCCGCAAAGGCTGTGGCTTGCCATGAAAACGTTCCGCATCATGCCCTTTTCTCCCCCGAAGGGGGCTGCACTCTTCCTCCCCCAAAAGGGGTCCTAGAGGCTTGTGATTCTTTTTGAAAGCGGCGGGTGCACGCGCTTGTTACTTTGAATTTGCAAGTCGGAGTACAGGGCTCTGGAGGAAAAGGGTGGGCAGACCGCAATGCGCACGGCCAAGGTTATGGAGGGACATGCTAAACAAACTCGCTTCACATGCCTGAGTGTTTGCAGACTTCGTTCTCGGACGACCCAGCAGGCAGATCGGTTTTGGATGAATTGCAGGGCCTCACTCGCAGCATGTACGGTCGGAGTTTTGGGCTTACGGGGCCCGCTGTATTGTCCGTCCGTTTTGTTTATTGCATTCTGTATTCAGCCCGGAGTCTACTCGTACGCTCGCCGAAGCTTGTCCAGGAATCCGTCGACCCACGAATTTCCGTGCAGCAAACCAAATCGTGCCAGGGCTCAGTCAACTTGGCAGTCGCGCTGGGCATTATGGGCTAAGCTAAGAGCGACTATTCTCTTGCATCATGCTGCCGTGAGGACCCCCTATGAGAGCTTTCTGACGGACACGGCTCAGCATATCTGTCGCAGAGCCATAGAGGCTCAAATAGCGTCCGAAACGAAGAAAGCTGAGACGATGAGCATCCCGGATTTTGTCTAAGCTTCTAGCAGAACAGTAGTGGAGGCAACAGGTCTGGCCGCCTGCAAATTTCCATCTGCAACCTTCCGACACGCTGTCCCTCTGCGAGACCATTTCCAGGCAAAGTGGACAGCATGTAGATGCAGAGCGCGCCTCGCTGCCAAGAAATCGTGTCGGCAAGAGCATGTGACACTGTTCTGTTTGCGAGTTGGCTTGCCTTCTGATTTCGCGTTGGGAGATATTGACAGGGAAGTGCTGTTCTCGAATGTATGTGTTCCGCCTTGAGATGTGGAACGCAGGCGGCTGCGTGCCGGTCGCCATGGAGCATGCTTCACCGCTTGCGGACCTGCAAGCTGAGGCATCGCCCTCGCCTGCAAAGAGTGATCTTGCTCATGGCTCATGTTTTACATTGTGCAGATAGGAAGTGTTGACAGAGGTTGACAGAAGCCCTTTTGTTCAAGACCTTTGGTCATCGCCTGTCTTTTTTTTGTGGTGAGCTCTTGAGATCCATGCAAAGCGTCGCCGTGATGCCGCCGCCGTGGTCGTCGGAGCTTGGTCCGAGGCAGTGCCAGAGGCCACTCCGGCAGCTTGGTTGAGAAGCTTCGGCGTGACGGCTCCCACAACCGACAGCGGAGAGATGGAGGCCTGAACCGCCATTCTCAGCTTCGCCGGCCTCTTCTCGCCGAAGACGTGGACATGCTGGTGTCCACACACACCCGCCACACACCCGACGACTATTTATTATGGTGCATACGACGTGACCCAGTTTTGTAGTGACACAGCGCAAGAGCTCGCCTTCGTGTGCATGCATGAAAGTGCCCTCGCTCTTGAGGTCCACAAACTTCGCTAAGACGGGAGTCTTCTGTTGGAAGTGAATGCGGAGGGCAACATCCACAGCATTGGCACGGGGCTCGCAAGTTTCAAGGATGAGCAGGACGATCTGTGGGCCAACGGAGGTCGACAGGTCCCGAGTTCCGAGCAGGCAGATCGCTTGGCAAAAGTGGTCTGTGCACTGGACATGGATCCGGCCGTCGAAGGTGGATCATGGGTGGCATGCTCATCATCCTCTCACATCCTCGCAGTACTAGGCGGACTGCGAAGCGGTGTTCGGACGCATGCAGCACCTCCTCTTGGACAGACGTGCCAAGAAGCAGACGGTGGAGATGCAACTTCTTGTATGGCGAGACAGAAGCTCTGCCCCTCGTCCGATACGAGCTTCCTTTGTTTGATCTTACTTGATTCGGGTGCGGTGTTTGCCGCCGAAGGGAGGGGCTTTGCTGGCTTCGAGCCCGTGGTCTGGGCAAAGCAATGCGTCGGCTCCTGTGGATGCTTGTGCGCACGCGCCTGCGAATGCCGCTGCGGCTGTGGCAGGCAGCTCGGGCTGCTGAGCCGAGCTCAGCGACTTTCTGAGCCGCCGCCCGACCAACCTTTTGAGCTTTGGACGCTGTCCTTGGCTTCGTGGTTCAAATTCGGCCCATGTTTCAATCTGTTCGGAGATCACCAACTCCGAATCCGAAGGTGCATGATTTGAGGCCCATGCCGCGCAGAGCTCCGAGCAAAAGGTGTTTGTTTGTGTGTGCGTGTGTACAGGACGGGACGTGGTCACGACTTTCCAAGCGGCCTAGATGTGCTCAATCCTTGAGCATCCACACAGGCTGAATTTGAAGAGTCCAGGCGGCTGCAACCTGTGTAAGTACGTAGGCCATCTGGCTCTCTCGAGCACGACGGGCCAAGAAAGAAGCGGCCTGAGATGACTTCTGCTTGCTTGTGATGGTCAGCACAACAGCTCCATTCTAGAACAGGCCACAAGCAACTTTAGAGTACAAGCCAGTGGGGCTAAAGGTGAGAAGAAGGGAGAGGCATGTTGCCGCCAGGCAGGGAAAGCGGGTTGCTACCCTCTTGTGACTATACTCCAAACGTTCTGAGGCACGGAAGAGCCTCCAACATGGACAGAGCTGCAAGGAGGCGGGCGTTTGGAGTTGGGAAATCCGGCCGTGCAGTGAAGACACGTTCCGCGACCATGTTATGGCAGGATGTCCCCATGCTGTCCATCTCAGAACAGGACACTTTTGGTTCGTAGCAGTAACAGCATTCGTTTTTTTCCGATTATTTCCTGGACAGGACTTGAAAGCAGAAGCCGCGGCGCTGCGGCGCGCTTGTCTCGGCTTTCCGGTGGGTAGGTACAGGTGGCAGGACGACTCTTCTGTAGGCCTCGCTCGGTGCAGTGAGGTGCTCACCGAGCAGTGTATGGGTCCCAACACCCGCGAGCAGGCCTCAACGCAGGCGGGACGGCATGAGCGAAGTCTCTGCTGGTACAGACACATCCTTCCTGAGGTCACTTGAGCCCCAGCCAGTCAAGTCCGGGTCAAGAAGGTCAGGAAGAATCCGTGTGAAGTGAGACGTCTTGCAGTCGTACTGACGACGCGCACTGAAAGGCCTGGTCGAGGCAGAGGGCTTTGAGGCCACGGAGGATCAGAGCCCAGCAACCTGACTGCAACTGCAGTGAGCCAGACAGTTTTCTGCAGATGTTGACGAAGCTGACAGGTGACAAGCAGAGGCCTCCGAGGCGGTGTTGCATCCGTGGAACGAGTAGGTGGGCTGGGAATATGCAGCTTCTTTGCTCGACAGGATACGGCAGCAGTGACCGTGAGGAGGTGGAACCCGGAAGAGAGTAATTAAATGAGCCAAGAAACGAGCCACATGCGACTGCGTCGCAGGAGCTGAGGGCTCGGCTCGCCGGGCGCCGACCGGTGAAGCTATGCTCGTGAAGTGGAGGCTCAGCGATTTGCCGAGGATGTGGCCGAGGATCTTTTGCAGAAAACCAGGCGTGACATCTTCGGTCAGTACAGGATGTTCTGATGTTTTGCGTCTTTTGCGTTCTGTGACGTCATGTCCTCCGTGGCTATCGCAGGCCGCAAGCCCAGGAGGTGCGGAGCTGGTGTTGGAAGACTTTCTGCTCGTGACATGCTTCTTCCGCTGAGAGGCAGCAGTGTTGCGCCGAAGGCCACCCGGAAAAGTAGTGTGTCCGAGAGGCTTCGACTGTGCGAGTTTTCACGTGGGGGAGGTGTGGAAGAGACACTTTGGATGCTCACTCTGCCTTGTCCCCCATGACTCGCAGATTGGCCGCATCAGAAACCCGGGCAGCCGAGATGGAGGCCTGGGTTGCGCAAACTGAAGGGCATTCCACAACCGTGAAGAGTGAACACGAGTCCGGACGCAGCCGCTCTTAACGCAGCTTTGGAAACTATTCCTACATAAACTTGTGAGCTTTAGTATTGCACATCATGTGCCTTGGTTCTGGTCCAGGCTACAAGCCGTGTGGTGCCCGCCCCAGAGTTCCCACTGAGTCCAACACTCGTCTGCTGTCGGCCGGGGGGGGTGGAGGCTTGAGACTTTTGAGTTTCGAGGTGCTGCGGCTCTGTCAGGAGCTCTCGGCAGCTCTGGAGCTTCAAAATGTGGAGTTTCAACGCTACGTGGATGCGATCAGAAGACAGACAGGACTCTGTGTGACTGATGGTTTGTACTTCCTTGAAATCATGCTTGGCCAAAGAGACCTCGCGCAATCCCACGCACAGTGCCACCCGAACTGGGCATGAATGCCCCCAAAAGAATGCTGTGCCCACGCGCTTGCGTCTTCCAGATAGCATTTTTCTCTCGTAGGGTCTTGCAGCTCTCGGGCAGTGCAGGACCTTTCCTGGAGCAGGCTACTCTCATCGAGGCTTTTTGAAAGTGCTGTGGCCTTGCTTGAGGTTTAGGCCCGCTTAGGTGTTTAAAGAGACCTTTTCTGGATAACGTATGACAGGCTGAGCTGGGGGCGGTTGCTTCCAGCGCCCCTCAGCAAGGCCGGTGCTGCAAATCGGTGTAGTAATCTTACAGTAGCCTTAGAGTAATCTGCTAGTACTCTTACGTTTGTGTGTCGGGTGCCGATAGTGGATCGAGTTGCCACGGTTGACTCCGTCAGTTCTGCAACAGGGTGGTGATAGTGTTCACATGGATTTGAAAGGGTATTTGCACTTCTTTGTCCACGCCGTGACGTCAAGCCCTGTGGCAAAGCTTTGGCAGCAACAGACAGAGCCAGTTTCATCCAGGAATCAGCGTACCGACTCTGAACGTGCGCAGGGAGCTCTTGGACTGGCAGTTATTGTTGTTACTGTTGTTATTGTTACGAGTACTGTTAGTATTTTTTAAAACTGTCGTTACCCTTGCCACTACTGTTAGTATGGTAACCAGTGTCATTTTGTATGTTTCGTCATTTTTGCAATTATTGCGGGGAACGTCTATGAACGCCACTCCAGAGGCGAGGGCGCAGACGCGAGGTTGCTGGAGGAGCGGCGCTGTTTCACCCTGGCCCACCCAAAAGCCCAAAGTTCTAGACTTTAATTCCTAAACCCCGGAAACGCTTCTAATATGTAGAATCCATGATATATAAGAAAATGTACCGATGTATCATATAGTAAAATTACATGTCATATAAACACAGCATGGCAGAACATGGCGAAAACAGAGTATAATGTAGCATGAGATAATACCATGCAGTATGGTGTAATGGAATGTAACATAGCAGATCATCACATACTGAACAAAGTAGAGCATAACTGTAACATAATGGCATACAGTATAATATCAGCATATAACCGAATATGTCCGAATATCGTCTAGTTTCTCCGAAAGTAATCTAACCCAGTACAAGATTATATGATAAATAGTACAACCTATTATACTGGAATGTTACATTCTACCATGTTTTATTTGATTGTTGTATCATATGATATCATACTATATCATATCTCATCTTATGTTGACAGTATGTCTCATTACTATGTTACATTTGATTGTATGATATTATATGAGATTGTATTACATTATTCGGTGTTGTATTATATATTTGTCTCATTATTATACGCAAACCGTGTATCATTTCTGGCATATCACTCCCAGCTGGGTCGCTGCTCACCTGTAGCACAAGACTTTCCGGAAGTGCTGTAGTGGGCGACTTGAAGCCGAACGGTCTCATTATTATGTTACATTTTATTATAAGATGTTTTATGAGAATATATTACATTATTCTGTTTTGTATTAGAACATATTGTACTACATTTATACCATATTATGTTTCATAGTATTATGTTTGTACCACATTCTATCATTGTATATCATACTATGCTATATCATGCTATATCGTATTGTATTTTATTGTTTTTCATATAATATCTAACCCCTAAATCCTCTGGTGCTGGGAGGAGCTCCAAAGCGAGCGACGCCAGCGGACACAAAAGGAATCGGAGCTGGGTGAAGTCAGGCTTCAACTAGCCAGGAGCGTGTCTGGAGGGAAGTGCTGGGAATGGGGAGTTGTTAGATAATTCAGTCATATAATCACATAATCATACAATCTAACATGATATAGCATCACATTCTTTTATCTTATGTTATGTTATGTTGGGATAGTGGGGCTGGCAGGACCGTCACCGACTTGCAAGATGCAGAATCGAGGGCAAACAAGTCTTCCGGCCCTGCTTGATGCCGCCGGCTTTACCGGTTGCTAAACTGCTTTTTTAGGGTTGTCCCAGCTGGGCAACTCAATCTTGCACCGATGGTAGTATCTTTGGCTATTCACTCTGGCACTGATATTAGCATCAAGACAAAGTCTCGGATGAACCGCAGCGCCACATTCTCCTACTGACGATTCTGGACTGCCAGGCTGTCTGCGAAGCTGACTCACTCTGACATGGAGCAGAACCAAGACCCTGGCGCTCTTGAGGATCATCAAGTGCGGGGAGACTCGCCGGCCAAGGCAGGATGACACAATCTTTCTCCCGGTCACTTTATACACACACCGACGAAACAAGGCTGCTGTCGAGCAAGTGTCTGAAGCTTGGAGCTCAAAGGAGGGTCATGAGTAACCTGGAAGTTTCGTGTGCTTGCTAGATTCTTAGACATGTGATGGAGGATGAACGCCATGCGGTCGCAGTGTCAAGACAGTGCCTTCCTAAATACTATTGTTGTGCATGAGGCTCCAAGCTTTGAGTCATGGATATGGCTTCGCTATGCCCTCCGGAGCAAAAAGATTGATGCCCATCATGCTTTTTCAGTACGTCTCCTCAGGCAGAAAGAATCCAAGATTGAAAAATCAATAGGTCACTGAATAAATGTGATGATACACGAAGGTCATAAAGTTGTGAACCATGCGCCATTCTAGGTCTGTTCGTATGCCTTTCTTATTCCCGTACAGGCAGAGGCTTCCATCGACCAACATCGGGACCCGATGAGTCGGAGTCCCGTTTTTTTCCGCCTCGTTCTGCTGTCATTTAGCTTGCTACCACGAGTGCTGAGCATCCTTGTCGATCGAGGTCCTTTTCGGCAGGATCAGTTGATTGAGGTGAGGGTCCAAGCTGGGAGCCTGCACTTGACGTGCTGCTGCAAGCTGCGGCTGCGTACCACCGCAGAGTGGCAGGAGAAGAGGTCCCGTGCACAGCACCGAAAACAGCGGCGCACCTCAGCCGCAGCAAACTCAACTGAACTCCCGGGGGGCAGATCTGGCGTTGATGGCCATCTTTTCATCTGTGATCGGAGGTATGGAAGAAGCCGTGTTGCCACAGGGGCGCGTGGCAGCCGCCTTCTCAGAGACTCAGCTTAGGCTCAGGCACTGAAGAGTCGCAACGAGGAGTTGCAACACAGACCATGAGAGGCCTCCGCCATCAGCTCTCTCTCCAAAGGCATGGTTGTCAGCAAGCTCTGTGTCCCATCCTCAGTAGTTTTCACCTTTCCTTCATGTGAGACCAATGTGCTCTGCTTCTGAGCTCCCCCTTACACAACAGACTGAGGAGTACGGGAGCTTTCGTTCGGGTGGTATGGTTGTGACTGGGTGGTTCCTTTCGGAGCAAAATCTTACGAAGTGATGTGGAGGGCTCCTCACTGTCGCACGCAGGAAAGCAGGAATCGAACGCGCAGGGCGGACATTTCTAGGGGCCTCTCATGCCAGGGTGTGAATTGCCGAGACTGCAGGCTGGGACTTCGCAGTGGCAGCGGAGACTCATGCAGCTCTCGCCAGCCTCCTCCCCAGAAGAGCATAGAAGACGACGAGCTGCTGTTCCGCCTGAAATGGCGAATTTCCTGCTCAGGCTCCACCCGCGGGCCCGCAGAAGCTGACGTGGTCGAAAGACATAGGTGCCTAAATCCAGAGCAAAGAGCAAGCTTGAGAGGCTGTGCCGGGGCCTCAACTTGGTCTGCCGGATGCCAGGTCGCAGGGTCTTCGGCCGCCGCCTCACAAGCATTGACTTGAAGGAGGCGCGAGCTGTTGCTTGAAGGATCTTCGCGTCTGTTTTCTGCGAGCATCGTAGAGGGTCCCTCTACCCGCTTGTCTGTGCATAGCAAGACACCCGAGCAAAAACAAGAACCAAGAGGGCAGGTCAGCAGCCTCGTCGGATGACCTGCTGTCGGGGAAAAGGGCAAACGACGGCAGTGCCCGTGAAGTTTGAAAACAAACCTAGCAGGACGGGGCAGCGCCAGTTTCGCTCTGATCCACGAACAAGAGGCACGAAAGAGGACAACCTGCCTGACCCGCTACCGTGGGGCGCACATAGAACTGTGAAGTTCCTGACGGACGTGCGCCCAGCCTCCTGAACCTTAGTCTTTGTTTTGTGCAGCTCATGACTGACTCGTTTGATCCATGGACACGAAGCAATGATGCAGCCAACTAGTCAGCCAATCATGGACTCAATCATACATTGATTGATCCATCGATTGATTCATCTATTCAGTCAGTCAGTCATTCGGTCCGTCAGTCATTCATTTACTCATTCATTTCTGCAAGGCAGTCAGTCAGTCAGTCAGCAAGCTATTCAGGCGTCCGCCTGCCGATCGGCCAGTCAGTCAGTCAATCAGTCTGTCAGTCAGTGAGTCAGTCTTGTACTAGTAAGAAACCGGTTTAAAGACCTTCAACAGTGGTCTGGTCCAACCATGTCCAACCGAGCTTTAAGAAAACAGGGAACCTCATCGGAGCATTCGCCAGCTCGTTCCTTCACTCAGTTTGCTCGGAACATGGGCATTTGCTGGTAATTAGAAGGGAGGAAAGCATCGCAAGTGACACAAGAGAGCGAAAGTTCGAGCGAAGGCAAACGGAAGGACCCTCAAGTGATGCCGAGAACAAAAACGACTGCAGAAGAGAATGATGCCTGGTGCTGCAAAGTGTTTCTCGAATCTTCAAGAACCTCCGCACGTCTCTTTGCGATGTGCGAAGCATCAGGTCAGCACGAAGGAACGGCGGAAGTGTACGTAGAATGAAGGGCGTGCGTGCGTAACTCGTGAAGCCCAAGTCCTCCAGCCCGGCTTCAGGTGACCAATGTTGGTTTGGGTGCGGACTCCCTGCCCGACAAATTGCGACACAAGGATCCGAGGGGAGGGCACATGACCAAAAACCGTGTGGCTGCGCTCATGACGTGGGCTGCAGAACTGCAGGAAGCCTCCTGTGGGTGGCGCTGCTTTTCACTCTGGACTGCCAAGCGGTCTTTTTTCTTCAAGGCCTTTTGCGGGGTTCCTCTCGGCTCCTGCTGGAGAGATCTCTCAGAGAGAGCTCTGTCCAGGAACTCTTTTGTCGTTTCGGACTTGTGAGGCCGAGAGCGACGTGGATGCGGAGCACGCGGTCCTTGCCCTGTCCCGCTTGTGCCCGCTTCCGAGTCATTCATTCGCCTCTGAGCTTCTGATACCTCGTCTTGCCGCACTCCTACGACATTCCGACCTCTGACTCTGTGGGGCAGCTTCAGCATGATGTTCGCTGCTGGTGCTAGGGCACAAAGCAAACTTGCACGAGACGCGGCAAAGGGGAACAAACATGCAGTTTCATGTATCTCCAAGAGGCTACGTGTCGGCACTGATGTGCATGTCCTGGCCGGCGCTGGCTGCCTTCTGCCCTCAACAATCCTAAACAGCTACCGTGCAAAGGTCCAGGCATGCCGTCTTGACGACTTCCCCGGATGCTTCAGCGGGGCCCAGCGGGGCAGCTGAATGGGGTCTTCTGTACTTTGGGGTCTCAGGTCACGCGACTTTGCCAATCTCGCGAGGGACTTGACGCGGGTGGTTTGGACCTCCAGCCTGCAGCACACAGCACTCAACATGGTCCGGGGGTTCGCGATGCGAAGGCCTCTGACTCTGCCACTCGAGCAACACTCAGCTGAAGGCGCAGTCTCTCAAAGGGTGCAGCTAAGGTCGATCAATGTGTGTGTGTATCACACACGATCATAGGGCGTATGATGCTAGGTGCATTTCACGACCACGATATAAAACAAAAAAAACACTTCTCCTCTGTGCCAAAAAACAGATTGGCACCCTGAAACTTGAAGTAGGTAGAGGAGCGTGCGAGCAGGCTCATGAGAATGTCACACACAAAGGTCGCCGGGAGCGTCGTCACCAGTGAGGTTGCGTATCGATGAAAGTAGCTTGCCGGGAAACTCCGGGGATTAATGGGATTATGAAGGGTCCCCAATTGCGAAGTGCCGGCAGCAACAAGGTGGGACTCGGCTGGGAAATGCTTTGTTATGTTTTGTTTCTGATTGCGTTTTGTGCTGCATTCGCGAAAAGTATGGAAGCTATGGATGAGTGTATCGAAAGACAGATGCATGCTGGAGCGTGTTGAAATCACTTGAGTTGTTGCTCCCCAAAGCAAGCCCTCCAGGGGGTGGAGTAGTTTTCGTTTTTTGGTGAGGAATAAGAGAGAGAGAGAGAGAGAGAGAGAGAGAGAGAGAGAGAGAGAGTTGTTTCTTCTGAACGTGTTTTGTACCAAGCAGTTGTGGTGCATGCTAAAGGTTGCCGGAACAGTCGGTAGAAACACAGTCCCCGGAACTGAGAGTAACAGTACATGCAATGCAGTGTTCCAGCCGTGGCCTCAGCAGTGCGTTGTGTGCTGTGCGTTGTGATGGTGTTTCAGTGCCTGGGGGACAAGCTCATAGCGAGCCAGCCTGCGACGGGGGCAACAGTACCTGCCGGAGCTTTTGGGCAGAGAAACGGCGCGAGCCGGAACCCTGGCAGTAGACGAGGCACTGGCAGGGGGTTCTGATTGATGTTCAGGTTAAGGGTGGGGGATATTTACGGTGCAAGCCGGTGCCTCACTCTTACAGGGGAGAGTCTCACAACCACAAACCTGAGACCAGTGCGCGCCCGCGCGCGGAGGGGGGGGTCCGCCCTTCTCTTGGCTGAGTGCAAGCAAGAGAGAGAGAGAGAGAGAGACCCATAGCCCTGGCGAAAGAAAGAGAGAGAGAGCAAAGCCGCACCCAGACGGCAAGTTGACGAGGCCGGGGGTACAGGGTTTTAGTGTAAAGGGGGGGTTAGGTTACGACGGTCCAAAACAGAGCCTCTGTCAAGCAACCTGGGCGTTTCATGGCAAGACAAGAAGACCGGTGCGCGCCTGCGCGCGAGGGGGGTGACCCCTTCTGCCCGAGTGCAAGCAAGAGAGAGAGAGAGAGAGTGAGAGTGAGAGTGAGAGTGAGAGTGAGAGTGAGAGTGAGAGTGAGAGTGAGAAAGCAAGAGAGAAAGAGAGAGAGAGAGAGAGCGAGAGCGAGCGAGAGCGAGAGAGAGAGAGTGAAAGAAAGAGCAGGAATTGGTCTTGAACTCCCAGGATACTTCCGGAAAGCGCTTTCTGTAGCAGCCTTAAACAGGGGGACCGAAGGCCCAAATTGGTTCAATTGGTTCCAATCTTTCCCCACACCCATGAACCCTGAGCCTTGTGGACCCAAGCCAGTGATAAGGCCAGCACTTCTGCAGCTAAAGCCGTAAAACCAGCACCCCACAAAACCTTGAATAAATCCGTGGACCGAGTCCACGGCTCGCTGTGAACGGCAAGACGGTAGACGAGCTTATCATATCAAGCACAAAATCCGTTGAAAGGTCTGCGGTACGCTCCACACGAACCCAAAACTAGTTACTAGTTGGATCTGTCTGCATGCCCAGATAAGGCGAAGGCCACGGTGGGCGAACACTGGCGCAGCGCGCTGGATGACGGCGCCAGCACTGCGTTGCGTAGAGCTATTTCATAAACGCTGTGGCACCTTGGGTTTAAGGCTACATGGTCAGTATCCCGAAACGAGTATCGCTCAAATAAGTTCGTGTAACCAGAGTAGAGTTTTTCAATTATAGTAGAGACCCTTACTTCGATGAAAAATAAAAGGAGTATACCTCCAATGCTCGGCTAAGGATCCTTATGACGGGATCTTGAGCTCAGGAAGAATGGGTCTCATGTAACATGTTGCACCCCTAAGCTTTCAAATCCGATGCCCACTGATTGTTTTCAGATTGTTGAACCTGTTTGCCATCTGCAAGCCCAGAAAAAGAAGGCTAGATACTCGGACCCTAGACCCCGAAGAGTTTCACATCTCTTCAGTGGGGTAGCTACCCCAAGAGCATCAGGGATGCCGAGAAGAAGGCTGCAGCCTTCCGAGCCTTGGAGCAGGAGCTGGCAGCTGATACAGAGTGGAAATCCGATGCAAAAGCCGTGGAGATGCGCGAGAACGGCTACAGTGCACCGGAAAACTTCCAAGCAAATGTGCTGATCGAGCCGCTCCAGCATCTTTTGCAGAACCCTTATGGAAACCCTGGCTAAGGCCTCCTCATGACAGAATTGCACTGGCAAATTCCGTTGAAAGGCGCAGCCGCTTGGGCATCCGGCTTGCGTGTGATCAATCCTTTGGATCCACTCGTGGGCGCATGCAGCACTTCAATATCCGGCAATCAGTGCTGAAATCGATTGAGCTGGCGTCCTATATTCAACAGAAGGTTGTTTTGCAATCACTGTGTTGGATCTGCATAGGCAAACTGTCGAAGGTCCCCAAAACCCAGTTGCTCCACGAGCCTACGAATTCAGAACCTTTCGAGCTCGACCGCATCCGCGAGAAGGCGGTCGAAAAAGTCCAGTGCGAGGAGGTCCTTGAGAACATCCGGCACTCGGTGTAGCTTGATCGCAGGAGCATTGACGCATGGGACCCAAGGGGGGTAGGGCATTTTTTGTCCTTTGTGGGATCGAGAGGGAGAGAGGGAGAGAGGGAGAGGGAGAGAGGGAGAGAAGAGAGGGAGAGAGGGAGAGAGGGAGAGAGGGAGAGAGGGAGAGGGAGAGAGGGAGAGAGGGAGAGAGGGAGAGAGGGAGAGAGGGAGAGAGGGAGAGAGGGAGAGAGGGAGAGAGGGAGAGAGGGAGAGAGGGAGAGAGGGAGAGAGGGAGAGAGGGAGAGAGGGGGAGAGAGAGGGAGAGAGGGAGGGAGAGGAAGATGAGAGGGAAGGAGAGAGAGAGGGCGAGACAGGAAGGGAAAGCGAGAAAGAAGGCAAGAAAAAACAGAAATGAAGAAGCCACGACCGAAAAACAGAAAGAAAGAACAAGATAAAAAAGCAAGAACGAAAGCAGCCCTCAAGCCCGATGAGATGAGAGAACAACAGACCGAAAGAAAGACACACGGAGACAGAGAAAGAAGAAAGAAAGAACGACAGAATGGACGACAGAAAGAAGGAAAGAAAGAACGACAGAGCGAGAGAGAGAGACAGAGAAAAATCAGAAAGCAGAAAGAAGGAACTAAAGAAGTCACGAAATGACGGAGGAACAAGGAAAGGCAAAAGAACTAAAGACAGACAGAAAGAAAGGAATAATTAGAGAAGGACAGAATGAAGCACGAGAACGAACAACACTGAGAGAGAGAGGGAGCGTGGAAGAACAACAGAGAAAAAACAAAGACAGAACAAAAAGTCACATCAGGATGAAAGTATGAAAGAAAGAGCGGGATAGATCAAAACAGGCCGCCAGAAAACAATACATAGAGATACGAGAGAGCGACAGAGAGAGAGAGAGAGAGACAGCGAGAAAACAAATGCAGAAATGCATAAAGGAACAACAAAAAGAGAGGAAGAGACAAAAAAGCGAAATCAAGAACGAAAGAAACAAATAAGTTATAGGACCGGATAGCCCCGCGTGAGTGTGCCTCGTTCATGCTCGTCAAGTTGAGGTGTGTGCGTGTGCGCGTGTGCGTTGCATGTGTGCGTGTGTGTTTGTGGGTGTTTGTGCGCGTGACCTCTAATTTTAGCGATCAATGGAGCAGTGTGTCAGTCATGTCAGATGCAGTGCTGCATGAGAAGTTGCCCAACCCTAGCCCAGGAATCCGTGCTGCAACTACAATGACAATTACAAGTGCAACCATTCGTAGCAGCACTCACAACAGGGACAAGACGGCCATGCAAGAAAGAATCGACCCGGACAGAAAAACCGCGCATGCTGCAAAGGAAACTTGGTTCCCGCAATCCTTAAAACAAAAAGCCAAAACCACCGATCCTGATCCAAAACAACAAAACAAGCCAAAGACAAGCTCACACGTCCGGCAAGTGAGCCCGAAACCAGAGCTCCAGTTGCACTACGTAGTAGTCGATCACATGGCAAGGTGCCTGCAGGGAGCGTGGCCCAAACCTAAGCACTAACGCAGTCAAGCCAGGGAAGGGGGGTCCCAAAGCGCACGTCTACAGCCTTTTACAGTTAGTCTGTGTGCGTGTGTTCGCGCATGTGTGTTTGAGTTTGCGTGTCTCTTTCTCTCTCTGTTTCTCTGTCTCTTTTCTTTTTCGCTTTCTCTCTCTGCCTCTCTCTCTGTCTTTCCCCTTCCCTCCCTCTCTTTCGTAATGCCACTCCTTCATTGGCTAGTCAGCATTTGATGACGGGCTTGGTGCTGGCGCGTTGTTGTTGTATGAACATTCCGGCAGGATTTGGGGAAGCCTGACCAGCTTGAAACCACTCGTCCCCAGTCTGCGAAGTTCCACAACGTCAAAACTGTTCTGAGCCCTGAACCTGCTCCATCCCTTCTGGAAGTCCTCCGAAATTTCCAAAGCATTCTCGACACAAGGTGGAAGGTCGGGTGCGCGTGGGCCGAGTCTCGATCTTCAAGAGTGCAGGAACGAGTTGCGCAATTTCAAGTACACCCAAACCGTAACCGACTCCAATGCGGACTGTCGCGAAGGAATCAAGGCACGTAACTGCGTAATTTAATGCTCAGGTTTCGATGTTTCGCGTGGGGATTTTCAATTTTTAAGCAATTTTAGGGTCGAGGAATCAGGCAGGTGTTCAACCACACAAGTGACGACGTTCCCGGCGACCTTTGTGTGTGACACTCTCATGGACGTGCTCGCACGCTCCTCTACCCACTTCAAGTTTCAGGGTGCCAATCTGTTTTTTGGCACAGAGGAGAAGTTTTTTTGTTCTTAGTTTAATATGGTCGTGAAATGCACCTAGCATCATACGCCCTATGATCCTGTGTGACACACGCACACATTGAACGACCTTAGCTGAGTGTTGCTCGAGTAGCAGCTGATGGAAATGTGCAAGGCAGAGGCCTTCGCAGCGCGAACCCCCGGACCATGTTGAGCGCTGTGTGCTGCAGGCTGGAGGTCCAAACCACCCGTGTCAAGTCCCTCGCGAAATTGGCAAAGTCGCGTGACCTGAGACCCCAAAGTACAGAAGACCCCATTCAGCTGCCCCGCTGGGCCCCGCTGAAGCATCCGGGGAAGTCGTCAAGACGGCATGCCTGGACCTTTGCACGGTAGCTGTTTAGGATTGTTGAGGGCAGAAGGCAGCCAGCGCCGGGTCAGGACATGCACATCAGTGCCGACACGTAGCCTCTTGGAGATACATGAAATTGCATGCTGCGTTTGTTCAGTCTTTTCGGGGGTCGGAACACGAATAGAGGAGCCAGCTATATAAGTAAGTCCGGACCATAGGTTTTGTTGCCAACCCAAAATGCTGTCACGAAGGGCTTCTTCAGATGAACACGAAGAATGCAAGGACATCGTGCAATGAAATATCGGAGTGCCAAGACTGACTTTGCTCCAAGACCTGAGCGGATAGCTGAAATGCAAGCTGCAGCAGAAGCGGAGGCACAGCCAAGTGCGCCAACAGACATACTACACATTTTTACAGCAAGCAGTACATATGTAGATGAGACATACATACTTACGTAAATCCGTACGTACGGTATAAGCACGTGTATACTTTTTTTTGAAACATGCAGAGCCCGACAAAAACAACACCGACGGAGCAGACCCCAAGACTAGTCGTCCTCGAAGGCACCATAACACTATATCTGCGTTGGGGAGTACCACCAGGAAACCTCTGGATATGAAGGCAAGCACCTGCCAAGGCACTCCAGCAAGTCCTTAGCACAATTCCTTAAGAACGTACGCCGCGCAGGTTCCGTCCTTCTTTTGAATCTGATGTGGCGTTGATTATCCAGGCTTCTGAGCTCTTTCTGAAAGCTTGTGGGGGCTCTACCGAGGATTCCACATTCCAGGAATTTTCAAGACTTCGCCGGACCGAAAACTTTTCGAATTTTTGAGAATTAGAATTTCAAGTCTTGCCCGACGGCAGCGCCCGGGCGGTCTGTCGGTCCGGTAGTCGGTTGCCTGGCACACGCTGATCCTGAACCTCTCCTCATGCTTTCCTGCCTTCTGTGCTGCTCAAAACGATTTCTTGAAGCAGCTTCGTTATGCTTCGTTTACAGTCTTGCTGTCAGAGCGTGTTGGCTGAGGTCCTGCCACTCAGCCCATACCTCTACGCTCTGTGATCCTACATCGCGCCTTTGGATTCTTGGATAGCACTGTTGACCTCAATCGGACATGAGGTCATATCTGATGACAGCAAAACTTCCTCTATAGGTGGCCTCAGCACGTCTCAGCTGAGTAAGAGCTGGCTTCAATCTTCCGTTCGTAGGGTCGGGACGTTCTGAAACTTCTGGAGAACTACTTAAGTGACGAACACGCGATCACTAGATTCACTAGATACACTAGATCAGGAAAGCTGGGACCAGACCCGGCCACGCGAGCTGCAACGTTGCTGCAGGCTCTGAGGCGCCCGAAAAGAGGATAGAAAGGAGGTTCAGGGTTGGGGTTTAGGGTAGCCTTCAAGAAGTGCTGGTGCTTCTCAGCCGCTGTGAAGCTGCGTACGCGAGAACCCGGCGCAGTAGAGGCGGGGTGCTTGACCGAACTGGCCCGGTCTTGTTCCCGCGGCCTCCTGTACTCTACCGCCTTATTTCGGATGCAGGGCTTCTCTCCCACACGTGGTTTTTCCATGCATCTGTCAAGCTTTTCTCAGCACGCAATTGTATATCCTAAACCCGAAACCCGGGTTCAAGAGCCTCCCTTGAACTAGCCGTAACTAACCAGTTTTTATCGAGGGTTTTGAGGCAAAGCCGACCAAACAGCGCCGTGTTGGCCACATGCATTGCTGAACTACTGTATCCAGTCCATGTGGGTTCCCCTGTCAGGCAGGCAGGGCGTGGCAAGGAAGACTTTGTCGAGGCCTGGCAGCTTTTGGGACGTTCGCTGGAGTCTAGACTGAGATGTTTGGTTTAGGGTTGGGGTTTGGGGGTTCGGGTTTAGGGTTCAGATATGTTGCCACGCTCACCCTCACCCTCATGTTCATCCTCTCGCTCACTCACTCACTCGCTCGCTCTCGCTCGTTCTCTCGCTCTCGCTCTCTCGGCTCTCGCTCTCTTGCTCTCGCTCTCGCTGAGGCTCTGGCTCTCGCGCTCTCCCTCTCTCTCTCTCTCTCTCTCTTTCTCCCTTTCTCTCTTTCTCTCTCTCTCTTTGTTTCTCTCGCTCTGCAGCTTCACCCCGAGCCTCACTTCACACCTCTTCTCATCCTCGGCCTCACTCCTCACCCTTACTCTCATCCTCAGTCTCACTCTCGACTCAATCTCACCCACGCCTCACGAGCTCTCCGCGCTTTGGCTTCTTCTCGCCTATAGCTACAGATTGCTGACACGTGAGGAGCAGCAAGAGGAGCCGTCGGAAGGGGAGGAGAGCAGCTCCCCAAGTGCTGACGACATCGAGGCTCTTCCACGTCCTCCACTGTCCCTACGAGATGCAACCTTAAGTCCTGACATGGCAGGAGACAGACGAACCAGGGCTTGCTGAGGCTGAGACTGAGACTCGGCTCCCGGAGAAAAGTCTGTACCGCAGTTTTCATGGCATGTCGGCGATTGCGGCTTGAGAGCAGGTTCTTACACATGTTTCGAACGCTGCCAGTGGGTTCGGACTGGCATTACGACCTTCACTGTGTTGTAGCCCTTCCCGAACCAGCTTTCGCGCAATGAAGTGCAGCCTGTTGCTGGCAGCTGTGGTCTCGGCCGTGTTGGCGCCGGAGCCTTGTGCCGGTTGTTTGCATGCAGGGATGCAGAGGATGCTTGCGCGCCAACTAGCACGGCCCCTACTGAGGTCTGATGTCACACCTGTCCAGAAAGTCGTTCAGATGCTGGAAAACATGAAAGAGAAGGGGGTGAAAGAGATGGAGGAGGAGCAGGTTCAGTACACGGAGTTCTCGCAGTTCTGTGAGATGACCCTGGCCGAGAAGAAGAAATCCATCGATGACGCCAGCGACAAGCTGGAGACCCTGGAAGCTGACATCGAGTCGGCAGCCGCCGATGCAGATCGTCTCAGCACTGAGATTGCCGGCCACGTGGCCGACATCGAGACCACCAGCGGCGAGAAGAGCAAAGCCACCGCCATCCGTGAGAAAGAGCGCACCGACTTTCGCGCGGCTTTGAAGGAGACTTGCCTTGAGCCCTTGAAATTTTCGTCCTTATCGTATCTCGTCCCCACAGCCTGTTCACAGCACTGCAGGACTACACGGAGTCCATCGATGCCATTCGCAGGGCCGTGAAGGGCTTGAAGGCGGAGGCCCTGGCCAGTGAAGGGAAAAGCCTCTAGAGAGTCTAGAGATTCTAAAGAGTCGGTGAGTGTCGGGACATGTTGGGACTCCGGTGCACCAGGATCAGAAGACGGCTCTGGTCCAGCTCTCTCGCGCCCGCAGCATGAAGCCGCTAGTCCGTATGAGCAAACATGCATGTGACACTGCATGTGTGAGTCTCTCCTTCTTGCGAAGAGCAGGTTCACTGTTGTCTACGCACCAGTCCAAAGTCAACTGCAAAAACCATTCTCAGGCTCTAAACCTTGCAAGCGACAGCATGCCGTGCGAAGGGTAAACAGGCAAACCGATGTGCTGAGGCTTCTTGTTCTGATGTAGGTTTGGTGCCAGGACCATTTTGGACGTAGTCGGTGGCTGTTGACCCGGGTCAACCGTCTTGTGCCAACATGGATAGCTCGAAGACTGCCAGATGTTAGCAAGTTCAAGCGCATGCAGTACTTCACCCTTGACCTGAAACGCTCCAAACAAACGAGGGCGAAACTCGTCACCGCAGAATGTCTGAGGCTGCTTCCCAGCGCTGCTGCCGACAGCATTGACGAGTACCTGAGCAACCATGGCCCTAATGACCCTACGAGTAAGTCCAGCTTGGTCATGCAGCAGGTCAAGGCTGGGAACTCGGCAGCCGAAGAGCCCAAGACTTACGAATTCCAGTCTGGCGGCGTGATCAGCATGCTTGAGAGCCTGGAAGAGAAGTTCGTGGATGAGCGTGTGAGCCTCGAGAAGGAGGAGGCGAGCAAGCGACATGCTTTCGAGAAGCTTTCGGCGAGCTTGGAAGCCAAGTTGACCCAGTCCAAAAAGGAGCAGGAAGACAAGACTCAGTTCAAGGCCAAAAGGATGCAGAACAAAGCAAGCTCAGAAGGAGACCTTGAAGAGACCAAGACTGCGAAGGCATCGGATGTGAAGTACTCCGCAGACCTGCAGGCCACCTGCGACAAGAAGTCCAAGGCCTACAAAGAGCGCCAGCAGCTCCGCCAGGAAGAGATCGATGCCATCGGCAAGGCCACGGAGATCATCGCCAGTGGCGCTGTTGCGGGAAGCGCCGAGAAGCACTTGCCGAGCTTGGTGCAGGCGGTGCAGGCGGCGCAGTCGACTGCCTTGGCCTTCCTTCGCTCGGATCACCACTCCCCGAAGCAGGAGCAGGTGGCCAAGTTCTTGCAGCGCCGCGCCTCGCAGCTAAACAGTCGCGTCTTGTCCTCCGTTGCCTCCCGTGTGGGTGCGGACCCTATCGCGAAGGTGAGGACCATGATCGAGGACTTGCTGACCAAGCTGCAGAGCCAGGCAAACGAAGAAGCCACGAAGAAGGGCTGGTGCGATGCAGAGATGGCCAGCAACAAAGCCACCCGAGAGGAGAAGTCCGATGTCAGCGATGCACTGCAATCTGAGATCGATGAGACCTCCGCCTCGATTGCTGGTTTGGCGGAAGAGCTGACGACCTTAGATGCCGAGCTCGCGGAGCTCGGCGGTGCCATGCAGAGCGCCACGGAGCTCCGCAAGAGTGAGGAATCGAAGAACGCAGCGACCATCAAGGACGCCAAGGAGGCTCAGACGGCGGTTGCGGAGGCACTCACTGTTCTGAAGGACTTCTATGCCAAAGCCGGTGAGGCAACTTCTTTGGTCGAGACGTCTTCTGTCATGGACGCATCCAAGCCCAAGATCTTCAGCGATGAGCCTTACAAGGGCATGGGCGCTGAGGGTGGAGGTGTAATGTCCATGCTCGAGGTCATCGAGGCTGATTTCGCTCGCCTCCAGGCTGAGACAGAGTCCGCCGAAGAGGCCGGCAAGAAGGAGTACGAAGAGTTTATGGAGGATTCCAAGCTGGACAAGGCCACAAAGACAAAGACCAAAGAGCACAAGTCTAGCAAAAAGCAGGCCAAGAGCCAAGAGCTCACGATGCTCCAAGCGGATCTTCAGGGAACTCAGAAGGAGTTGAATGCTGCCAACGACTACTTCGAGAAGCTGAAGCCCGATTGCATCGACACTGGTGCCTCCTATGCCGAGCGCAAGGCACAAAGGGAGCAAGAGCTTAAAGACTTGCAGGAGGCCATGGACATGCTCACCAGCGTCTGAGCCGAAGAGCCCAGCGACCTGAGCTGACACCGGCCATTGCTGCAGCGCTTGCTGCAGCGCGGACACGGAGACGTAAACAAAGGCGTTTAGCATGAGCATGAGCCCTGCTGCGCGAGTCCGTGAGGGACAACTTCTGGTTCGATGTTTGCGGTATTCAGTAGTCTTCTTGGTCTTGGAGGGAAGGTGCTCAGAACATGTATGCTTGCATACATCCTGCAGCGCAAGTCCATCGGCTCAAGGGTTTGTGCTGATTATGCTTTCAACGAGTTCTGCTTCTGCAGTACGAAGCAGCCAAGTTCTCCCTAAGGCGATGTCTGGATCTGGCAGTGGGATCGTGGATGTTCATGCTGTAGTCCACTGACATAATGCGTTATTCAGGCAGGCAGCCCCGTGCCCATCGGCTTCGTTGTAGTAGTGCTTGAAGCAGCCCAGAGGCCCTCCGTAAGCTGAAGGTCCGATGCCTGCCATGGTGGCTGGGCATCCACAGACGAGGACCCGGCCGAAGGCGTGGCCTGCGATGCTTCTTGGGCTTGGCTGCGCAGTCTTGGCCTCGTGGCCTGCGAATCTATCCGAATCTGCATTTCGTTGTGGCAGTTTCGGTGCAGACCAAGCAGCTAGCCGCAGATCGGCGCTGCAGCTTGCCGTCGCTGCAGCCACACCTGTCCTCCTTCCCGCTGAGAGCAAGGCTGACGTCATCCGCTTGGTCAAGGAGCCGCTTCCAAAAGCCTTCAGCGAGTCTGTCACCGCGGCGGCCAAAGCCCTGAAGGAAGCTTTGGAGGCCGAGGAGGCAGTGGGCGACTCCTTCATCGGCCCAGAGCAGGAGGCCAAACTGGCAGGCCTGGAACAAAAAGCAGGGAGGCTTGTGCAAATCTATGGAGAGACCTACATCTCGGAGGATTCTTTATCGAGCGATGCTCCTCTGAGGAAGAACCAGGTCCATTTCGAAATGGAGGAAACCATCAACAGCTTCGAGAACGCCGTCAAGAGCGACAAGCTGCCCAAGTACCGCAAGGAACTGATTGAACGCTTGCAGACGGTATTGGATTTGGCGGAGAAGAGCGGAGTGGAATAGACGGCCTTCGCAAAGATACTATCGATCCAGATCTGACAAAAAGGGTGTTCTCCGCTTGAAACCTCTAGAATTACATGATTCAGTACAACTTTGAATACTCTAGGTCACAATATAGATGATGACTATAGTTGTATAAAACTGAAAACTAGAATAATGTTCGAAATAAGGAGATGCAGAAAGTTCACTGGGCTAACATTATTGAAAAGCATCAATAATTCGGTTAGAGATCTTCAAATAGTTCAAATTATAATATTGATATTGAAAAGCTATCTTATTGAAGACACACCAAGAATCTAAAAGATTTCTTATATATTCAACTTAATCGTGATATTTGGAAAACCATTAAATAAAAACCTATAATTGAATAAGACTTTCATTATAGATTTTCATATTGTTTATTCGATGTTCTCTAAAGCATTATGGCAATCTTTGGTACTATTGTTAAATGGTGTCGTGTTGCTCTCGTCCGTGATTCTGTACGTAGCCCTGTCCCCCTGTAACTTGATCCTTTTCCGCGTTTCTTCGTATCAGTCTCTTGCATGGTTGTTTTGCTTGATGAAAATCCTGGAAATTCTTAGTGTCGCAAGCGTTTCTCTCCTTGTATTAAACACCAGAAGATGTTGGTAGCCTTAGGAAATCTCGCTGCATTCTCTTTTCCAAGTTTTGTTAGTTTTAAGGGGGGCATTCCCGCGGTAATGCAATTCTGCAGATTTCAGGATGACATTCTCGCGGTAATAGAAGTCTGCAGATCTCTTGGATGGCCAGAAACTTAGAAAATCGAAGGTTTTTCAAGGATGGCTGCTGGAAAATTCCGCTGGAAAAGGGGATTTTCATAGGCAAATTCGACGATTTTTATATTTGCGGGTCTCCACCAATTTCAGCGTCTCCAATGGAAAATTGGGGTTTCTATTACCAAATGCTATTTATAAAATGTGCTATTAAAATTGGGCTGATTCCCCCCATTTCAACGGCTCCGATGGCCAGAAACACGGAAAATCCAAGGCTTTTGAAGATGGCTGCTGGAACAAGGAGCATTCGCCGGCAAATTCGACGACTTTCGTGGATTTGCGGGTCTCCACCAATTTCGGCGTTTCCAACGGAAAATTGAGGCTCGGTTTTCTGTTGCCAAATTCTGCTTATAAATGTGGCATTTACTGCGGGTGGATCTCGGAGTTCTTCTTATGATTCTTATTGGTGGTGGCGGTGATGGTGGTGCTGCTGCTGTTGTTGTTAGAGAGAGGGAGAAAGAGGGAGAGAGAGAGAGAGAGAGAGAGAGAGAATAAATGTGATCCACCCGGGGGAAAACAACTGCAAAATATTCTCACACTCCTCCAAAGTCCCCACAAGATATGGGGGGGGCCCTGGTGGCCGAGGGGTCTCAACAGCCCCTCATGCCCGGCGAAAGAAGAATAGAGAGAGAGAGAGAGAGAGAGGGAGAGGGAGAGGGAGAGGGAGAGGGAGAGAGAGAGAGAGAGAGAGAGAGAGAGAGAGAGAGA